CGAGAGCTTGTTCTTTACCAACTCTCTTCCACCCGACAGGAGACAAGCTGCTGATGTTTTTCATCTTCTGTTACTTGTCTCAAACATGGTGTCATCTTCTAGAAGATTCAAAGCCTATCCTGAAAATAGCAAGCCCCCCTACCATTTTTTTTTTTTTTAACTCCCCATCAGTTATTCTGGAGTCTTGGTAAGCGGCTTGCCTTTCTGCTCCACCTGATTTGCAGCAGCTGTGGATGTCAGGAGGTGATTCCCCGGCATGTTAGCTACTCCTCTGTTGACAGCACCGGTTAGCCCAGGTTCTTCCCACCTCAGTTTCTCTCTCCCTGCTATGTTTTCATCTGTTACCAGGCAGAATGGAGCTAATGGAACTATCTTTTTTTTTTTTTAATAATAACCATCTTTTGAAGTCATCTTGCTGTTTTGTATTCCCATCCACCTTGGATGCCATAGAGGAACCCCCACCTTGCATACCATTAGGGAACCCCTACACATTGAGGGAGCATGAGGTAATTAGGACGACAAGTAGCAAGCTAAGGTCAGAGGTTAACATGCTCAGCAGATATGTTCTCAACAGACCAGTGTTGTCTGTAATAGTATCACAGCAGAACGAGAGGTCAGTCTCTCTGAAGGGCTTTGCCGAACATCATAAATCTTGTCACGCTGGTATGCAACCAGTTTTATTCACTGACCAGTTGAAGCATTTATTTATGGCCCAACACGTGGACTAGATGACTTCACAAAATAATAAATAATGATGCCTAATTGTCATGGTAAACTGCTTAAAAAAAGATTTAGTGAGAGCAGGAATGTAAGTGCGTTAACAGAAACATAACCTCATACTGATCCTTCTCTGCTGATGCCGTCATGCCTCTTTTCACTGGTGGAGACGGAGGGAGGAGTTCGGAATAAAGACAACCGTCGATATGGCTTTTAGACAGCAAAAAAAAACTCTCAGTTAATTTCGTGAAATTACACTTTACTGAAGTGTTTCTCGTTATGAGAACTTGCGCTGTGAAACGTCCAAATATGTACTAATGTAAATTATTATTTTTTTAAAAACAACAACAATTTGACACTCGTTTAATTTTGCTATTGTCCATTTTCTGTTTTTAACATTTTTTTTTTTTAGAGTACTAAATTTAAGGGCTTAAAGAAATAAAACATAATCATTATCATGCTCTACTTCAGCATTGATTTATGGATGGACTGTTCAGTTTTGTGGATCCATGACCCTTGTTCCCACCTGTGTTGGGAAAAGGAATGGAAAACTGGACCCAGATGATTAAAAAAAAATCATAAATTAAGTGTGGAAATTTAAGAAATAAAAAAAAATTGATTTGGTAAAGATGGTAAGTGAAAAACCTGTAGGGACATTTTATTGCTTAAGTCCACAATGTTCACATTTACATCCCTATTTAGCAACTGGTAAACCTAAAGTATGTCTATCTTTTCAGGCCCTGTAAAGGCCTCTTTTTAAACCCTCTCCTCATCCTAACCTGTTGCCAACCTAGTTGGTATAAAAATGCTCTTCCAGCTGTTTCTGTTTACTTTTACAGCCTTTTGTCCCACAGGCCACAGTTTCTCATGGAGGCATGAGTTTAAGTCCCACTTCTGACAGATTGTTTTCAGTTAGAGCGAACATGGAGACGGTTGGAGTGGGGACAGAAGATGCAGACAGGGTGAGATGGAGGAGGATGACTTCACTGAAGTGAACCCTGAAGAGGAAACAGCCGAAAGAAGATCTGATACGTTTACTATGTTCCACTGTAAATAAAAATATTGCCTTAAGAGATTTGCAAATCATTGCATTCTGTTTTTGTTTAATTTTACACACTGTCCCAACTTTTTCAGAATGGGACCATGTGATGGACTGCCAGAATGTTCAGAGTGTCTGCTGCTTCTACAGCTGGAGAGAAGCACCAACAATCCAGAGTAGGAATAATCAAGTACGGAAAATAAAATTAATGGATATATAGCTACATTTTGATTACTGGAAAAATATATATGTTGCATTTAGTTGAAATAAAGTGTGTAAATTAAACAGTTAAAAAAAATCATTAAACAGAAATTGCGTTTTCTGTGAAATTTCAGTGCGGAACGACTGCTGAAATTTGCTGAAGAAGCAGAATATCTGGCACAGCTAAGCAAAAAGTTAGCTTCGCTAACCCATGTTCAACTAAATAAAAAATTAGCTTTGCTAATTGCAAAAATTTAAAACGTGTTAAAAAAATGATTGGACGCTAACCCTAAACCGCTAAGATGACTGTCGCCCAGTGTCTGTCACACATCTTCGTCTCCTTCCAGTTGAAGCAGTGTCGACCAATCACATCTTGTCACGTGTACGCGTAATCAGCCAATAGTGTGTCTAATGGACTCTTGGAAACACACCCACAACAGACAGGAACAAGCTTGTGAATTTTGTTGGAGGACTTAAAGTTGGCAAAAGCTAATTTAACAAAAGCTAATCCTGCTAACCCAACAAAGTTCAGTCAGGTCATCTGGATGGTTTCTTTTATCGTTGAGACATTTTGTCCTTCATCCATGGGTCCATGCATTTTATACCTGGATTACTGAGCATGACATTTCAAAAGTTAGCAAAAATGCTAATCCACTAAACAAAAAAATAGTTCCACTATTAGCTGTTAGCAGATTAGCGGACATGTGCCCACCACTGTTAATCTCCATCTTCTGCTGCTTATCTGTGGTTGGATTAAGGAGGGAGCAGAATCAGGAGAGAAACCTAGACCTCCCTCTCTCCAGTGACACTCTCCATCTCCTGCTGGGGGAACCCCAGACATTCATTCAACATTTATTTATACAGGTTAGTCTCATTGAGCCACGAGGACTCATTTACAAGAAAGACGTGTAATTCCTGCATTCCCAGGCCAGAGAGGATTTATAATTCTGAGCTTCCCCTTATGGAGCTGAGTTTAAATGAAAGTTGTTCAAACTGAAAGAGCACTTGCTAAAAACTAAAATGAGCAAAATAGACAAAGTAGATGCTGAAGCAGATTTTACAAAGAACAATGTTTTGAAGGAACAAAAGAGATTTGTATGCATTTTATGAAGACAACATTAGCAAATTAAGTTTTGAAAGTATACAAGTTATAAAAAAACAAAAGTCATAGCACCCATCTCCTGACTGAGCTGAATAATTTGATTTATGAATGTCTAAAATAAAAAAAAAAAGTTCAAACAAACAGGAAATTACACAATAATATCAGATTTTACACAAAAACAAATATTTTATGTAACGCTGAGGATGTTTTTTCCCCCCAAGATTTGTAGCTCAGGTTCTTTCAAGAGTCCTGGAGAACTTCAGCTCTTCTCTGGCTGTTCTCTTTCTATGTTTTCTGTCTGTTTGTGTAACCTCAGCCTGACGGACAGGCTGAAGTCAAGACTGGGGTTTTGAAGGAGGCATATCTGTTGCAGACCTCTGGTTCTTTTTGTCACTGAAGATGGAAACCCACAGTTTGACTTACGGCTCTTAGTTTTAGAGTTTCTTACGGTAAGCAGTCTGGCTGTGACCTCAAACTTAAAGCTGGCAAGAGAAGCTTCACTTTGGGCTCACTGTAAAAGTCATTTGGGGCAAATTTTATACTTTCCTGTTGTTACTATGTGATGGAAAATAATCAAATAATTTGAAATTATATAAACTAACACAAACCACCTCAAATCTCCTATAATTCCACAGGAAAATTAAGGTTTTTTTTAAAGGTTTTAGCTGTTTTTGTAATTAAATAAGTGATATACATGGGTGTAAATTTCCATGATTTCTTGATGCCCATTGACCTTGTCTTGCTCTCACAAACACAGACTCACATACCTGTCAATCATGCCCGAAACAGTGACGACAGCGGCATCACTCAGTGACACACCTCCCAAAGCTCCCACTTACTGTGTGATTCAGGATGTATCCTCTGACGTCAAATTGGTATAAAAGCTCTCTTCTTTTGAGAAACAGCCTCATTAAAACAATGTTAATTCTTTAGTTAAGTGTCTATGTAACCAGGGAGACTCAGTAATAGTCCACGAGAGTCATAAATCCATCCTAATGTTGCCTCCATTGTTGTGAGACATGCTCGGAATCAGATTAAAAAAAGGTCACATCGGATGTAGACCAGTAGGACTGGGCAGTTCATGGATGTAGAGTAGAAAAAAAAGAGGCTTATGAAATTAGATAGTGGGGGAAAGTTTTAAATAACACATTAAGCTCAGTAATGAGGAGCTGCACATGCTTATACAAAAAAAGAAGTAAACTAATTATGCTATTTTTGCTTTTATTTGGGTATTTAACAAGATTTCCTGTGCTTTTGGGAGACAGCTTAGAGAGAGATTTATGTCAGAACAACACATGCATTCTTGTAAAAGTCTGGGATTCTGGTGTTTGAGTGTTTTTCCAAGTCAGAAAGGTGTGAAGGTATTTGGGTTCAAAGCCATTTGTTTGATGCCGCATGACAGGTAAAAGCCTGAAGCTAAGAGGGGGTGCTGTCATTCATGGCCTGCCCCCTCCAGGAGCTGGAGGTATGACATCAACAGCAATAATGAAAGCAACTCATCAACAACTGGACACCCAGGCTATAAAAGGAACGTGGGGAGTCCTGTGCTTATCATAACTAATAGGAGCTAACCACCAAACCACAGTGACTCACTGAAGAGACCACTTCTACTACAGTTTTGTTATCGGACTGAAGAGAAAAAGAAGAAAAACCACCACAGGTATGTTCCTCTTGGCCTGTCATTTAGAAGTACAAATTGGTTCAAATGCCTTAAAGTAACTAAATTTGTTTGTTTTCTTTATTTTGTAAAATGCAGTGGCAAAAATAAAATAAAAAATGTGTGAAAATGTACAAAAACATTTGTTTTTTTAATTTCTCAAAGGAGGCATTTGGATTCTATTGACTGTTTTTATTGAGAATTGTTCCACTTTAGGGGAAAATTTTTGATTTGATTTTGCTTTAACATTTCTTTTACAGGTCAACACACTCGACATGACAAATACAGGCTTTAAAATCCTGTTCATTTCCCTCATCGTTTTATACCTCTTCATTCACTGTCAAGGACGTCCCATAAGGTAATTTATACCTCCTCTTTTTGCTCACATCATTTATGAGTTTATTTTTTTAAAATAGGAGCAACAAGTGCGTTTTGTATTTTCAACAAAGATTTGTTCTTTCAATGTAAAATTGACAGTGTTTGATGGTTTTGCAGTAAAAGGACAGTGAGTGAGGTGCAGCTCATGCACAACCTCAGGCACCACAAGCAGGTGCAGGAGCGCAGAGAGTGGCTGCAGAGGAGGATCCAAGACATCCACAATGCAGCCCAGACCAGCAGCGGGGGGGACAGCGAGAGCCTGAGGAGGAGGCTGCATCCAGAGGAGCTGACTGAGCTGGGTGATCTGACATCAGAGGAAATCCAGCAAGCGATAGACTTTTTTGAGAAGCTCCTCGAGTCAAAACAATCGTGATTTTTTTTTTTTTTTTTTTTGGAGACTTTATGAAATTGTTTAACATTTCCAACACAGAAAAATATAAAAATTTCACCTGAGTTTAACCCTTTTTTCTATCTAAACTTAAAAAAAAAAAAAAAATCTCTGTAGTCGGTTCTTATCGTTGTGCTGTTTTGTATTTCCATATATATTTTATTTATTTTGTTATTTATGAATTTTTTATTTATGTGACAGTGCCTCTGTTAGGCAAACCTTCTGTTACATGAATGCACTTTTATTTAAGAGGCTTTGTTATGAAGCCAGCATGAAGGAGACAGTCTAACTTGGACCAGCTGTGTTTTTTTTATTTTATATTATAATAATAATTATTATTATTATTATTATTGACAAAGCCCAGTTTAGGGCCCATTCAAACTGTTTGACCTAAATTGGCTATTTTTGATTTTAAGTATACTCAGTAAGTATTTTACTTTCGATATAATTGTAAAAGGCTCAAATTGATGTTTAGCTATTGTTGCTAAATGCCTGATATTTTAAGCACCTAAACAGAAAAGAATGATTTGTATAGTTTTACCTTTGTTTAACAATGTACACACAAATCTGTGCATTTTGCTTGTAAGTTTAATTGTTTTGTATAAGATGCTACTTTTTTAAATAAACTTTTTTTTTGTTTAATTATTTGTGCATTTAGAAATGTTTGCCCAGACTTGCAAACATGCATACTTCTTTTATGGCGACTGGTTGGAACAGGAGATATTGTCTATATTACATCTAATGGACAGCAGAGGCAATTTACTGGATTTAGCAGATTTTTGTCATAAATACAATCTAATTTGTTCCGGTCAATAATGATGTGATTATTGCAATCCCACAAGCACTTATTTGCACTGTTAAAGGTTCTCTATTATACACAGTGATGATAGCTCTGCAATATTCTTTGTCCATTCAAAACTCTTCTTTTGTTGACAAGACATGTAAAAAGTTCCTCAAAACTTGCCTTATCCAGAGAATATTTTCCATCACTCCGCTTAGTGAAAGAATTTACTAAAAAAAAAATTAGATGCAAGTTTATGGCGTTTACAAGTTTCCTATCCCACCCAAGATGAAAGAGGTTTATTTAAAAAATAATAAACAATATTTATCCTTGCGGTGATTTTTTTTACATTCCAAATCTAACATTGGTGAAGATGCATACCTTTTGCAAGTCAGACATAGAAATGGAGGAACATCTTTTAATTCTTTTCTTGTGGTATTTTGAAAACATTTTGGGAACACTGGCGGAATTTAAACAATTTAGAAAAATCCACTTTAAATTACAAAGTGGCCAAATTTGGTGTCAAAACAAGAGCTCCTTTCAATCCTTTTGTTTAGTCCAATTTTTTGTTCATAATTGTAAATTTGCTAAAACTAAACCAGTGTTTACTGGATTTCTTAGCGATTTGGCCTTTCTAAAAGAAATGTGCAATTCACAAACTGCACAATGGCTCCATGAGAGGATTGCGCAACTTTCTTATGTGACTCCAGTTGCTATTTAGCTATTTATTTAGGTTATTTAATAATATATATTGTATTCTGTTTTAATTTAATCGTGTGGTTTTCATGATTCATGTTCATTGTTCGTGTTTATTGTGGTCTGCTCAAAAAATGCATTGTAGTTGTGCATAAGTCTGCAGGATTTGTAACTAAACATTTTTTTGGTAACTAAACAAAAAAAAAAAACTTTAGAACAGTGACGTCATACGGAAGTCTCGCGATATCGTACGTGAGTTCAGCTTCCTCAAACCAAAACAACTCCACTAGCGGTTAATCCAAGCAAAAACTGTCAACTAAAAACGCTAGTCTTTTTTTGGTTTCTTTGCTTCTTCATTTAAATTACACAACTATCGGCTGTCCGTCCACTGGCTAAAACTTTAAAACGGAATGTAACTCAAGAAGGTAAATATGAGATGTTTTAAACTTTTGTTTACAGCGTTAGCAACAGTTAGCTAACGTTTAGCAACCTAACCATTATGCTAACCGTTAAGCTTACTAGCTTTTTCGCTAACGGTAATGCTTAAAAACAAGATAATGTAATTGTCTAAAGTCCTCGTAGCTGCTTTGAAATGTTTGTTTAAGACAAACGTTGACCTGTCAAGTGCTGTATTTAATTCTGCAACACTGATAAGTTCACATGCAACCCCATAATCGTCCAAGCCGCTGAGTTATGTCTGTCGCTGTTTTATAGTTAGACAGGCTCTCTAAACCATATCTATAAAATTAAAGTTTCAATTTCTTATATTATTTTCATTACTCATGTGTATGTATATATTCCAGACACCAGTAAATAAAAGTCCTGATGCATGCTCAATAATCCTGAGAAATCTAACAAGGTTGCGTCAGGCCCTCCGGAGGGGTTCTTTACATCATCCCCACAAACTCAGGAGCAAGGGAGAAGGAGAAATCCCACACAAGACAGGCCCTTGAACAAAGTAGATATCCTAACTGAGTCTTCATGAAAGCAGAGAAGAAGCCCAAACAGGACTTCATCTAGCCATCAGGTGACAGGGAGGACCCCAGACCAGGTCTCTTAAGGTCTCTCTTGTAAATGAGTCCTCTTGGCTCACTGGGACTAACCTGTTTAAATAAAGGTTGAATGAAAACACCAGTGTTCATACAGTGTATGTTGCAGGAGTTTCAGAGAAACAGAGACGTTTATTTTCTAAACATGACATCCCAGTGGCTTTCAAACCCCAAAATATATTACGGCAAAGACTGGTTCATCTCAAAAGATCCAGTCCCCTGGTACGAACGGAGTAATATTATTTATGCTGTTAAGTGCCAGGAGGCTGTGATCAGTTATACATCAGGGAAACTTAACAGCTACAAGCCAACAGGATAGCCCAGCACAGAAGATCAACATCATCAGACCAGGACTCTGCAGTCTACACTCCTCTACAAGCCAGCAGTCACTCTTTCAGGGATGAAGATGTTCATATCCTTGATGGAGAGGAACAGTGATTCAAGAGAGGATTAAAGGAAGCCATCTTTGTGAAGAGAACCCACCCATCGTTAAACAGAGACGGAGGCCTCTGTGTTCAATTGTTCCCCTTATAATGCTGTTATTGCAAGTATCACTCAGACCTCTGTGAATAGCTAGTGGCCATCAGGGCACTAACGATTGGTCGTTAGGCTGATGGTCCTCTTGCATGTAAACAACTAGATTTGGCTGTCACCAACAAACTGGTTGATCCACTATAGCTGCTTCTCCACGAGCGTGGCTTTGATAAGCTCACATCAGCCAACTGTGTCCCCATTACCTGTTCCTGCTCAGTTTTTGGACCTGCCTCAGATGTGGTTCCAAGCAGCCGAGCAAGCAATTTTGATGTCCATAAATTGCAGCCATTGATTGGCCCGTTAATCAACATCACTGGATGAGCCAAAGCTGAACTTGCAAACTTGTGCTCAAACTCGCCTCCTGGCTTTTACCCTGAAGTTGTAAGACTCTTAAATTCAATTCAAAAATACTTTATTAATCCCAAAGGGAAATTATTTTGTTGTTATAACTCGTTATCCTCATTTCATTAAGAGATGTTATAGATGCTGATGGCTGTAAACAGGAAGGATCTCTTGTAAAGGTCCATCCCACAGTGGATTCTAAGAAACTGGCTGCAGATGCCGTCCGATCCGTCCACCCAGATTCGGCTGACCTCTTGGTTCCCCTGGACTGTAGGACTGCCTGAATGCCGGGCAGAACTCCTCCCAGAGCGATGGCCACTCCTCCCAGCAGTCTGCTGAGCTCCTCATAGGTGCGGACAGCCAATTGTAGGTGCTGAGGGACGATCCTGTCCTTCCGCTGCCGTGAGCCGTGTTTCCTGCTAGTTCCAGGATCTCAGTGGTCAGGCACTCGAGCACAGCTGGCAGGTAGATAAGAATGCGTCCACATAACATCCTTTTAAACTCATTTGAGAGTTGGGGCCATAGTTGAGATATTATTTGAGCTTTTGCGATGTTAATCAGCTGCTGTTGTTGTAGAAAACAGCCTTGTTGCCATAGTTACGCATCAAAACAAATGTCCAAAACTTAAAAAGTTTCAGTAAAAATCCTTCCGGCTGCACAGCATCTGATACCAGAGGAAACAATAATCCAAAAAATATGATTTACATCCAGAAAACCAGGAATTAAAGTTTCCAAAAGCAAAATCTCAGAATGAAAGTAACAGAGCTGCTCCAACATGCAGCCACCTTGAGCGGCGCAATTCTAGAACAATTCAATTCATTTTAATTCCTAACCAGACAAACTACTGTAATGCCATTTTAAATTGGACATTAGACTATCTATGCTGCTGATTTCTTACCCATAAGCTGCTTTATTCATACCCATTTGCTCATAACTGACTCATGTTCAGTTGGCTGTTTTACTACATCTTATTTATATTATTATTGATAGTGTATATCTTAGATCCTTATATACTGTTTATCTTTATTTATACTGTATTTAAATATAGCTTTTTTGGGGTGTAACTGACCTTGAGGACACAATTTCGTTCCACCTCATGTACCACATGTGATGCAAATGACAATAAAGTGTCCTTGACCTTGAAGCGCCATTTTCAATCCGATTGTTGCAGAGCATACTTTCCCGAAACAGACGATGAACTGCAAATCCCACATAATCCCATGGACCAATAATGAGGTGCAAACCTTTTTATTCATTTTGGCTGTCAAGCTCATGCAGCCTGAACTTGACAAAGCCATGAGGAATGAGCAAGTGTACTGGGAGGTCTCTGAAAAACTGGCTTCCGACAGCTACACTCAAACATATATTCCGTGCGGGGGAAATTTTACGAAATGAAATCCAACTATCGCTCGCTTTGCACTGATGATCCCACACACAGTGAGGGACACGCTCCCAATGGAGACACATCTACCGGGTACAGTTGAGTAGAACTGAATAGAAACGATAAGCGATTAGAGTGGTACTTAATGGAGTATCGACGTTTGCTTGCAGCTCCTCAGACGGAAGAAGTTTTTTGGATAAAGAACAAAACTTTCAACTAAGAAGAATCCATCTAGAGGACATGACTCAACCTTGTTAGATCAGTAAATGTGGGGAAAAAAAAGAAAATAATAAAGAACAGATAAATTAAAATATTGGATAATGAATACAGTTGTGACTGGTAGATATCTGTTTGTATAGCTTGACTTGCCTAACAAAAAATAATTTGAACTAACCTAAAACATTTTATTTAAACAATTGACCTAAAGGCTATGAATTAATAATGTATGTAACATACTAAATAGAATATGCTTTAGAATAAATTATATTTTAGATTGTGCCTTTGACAGGAATTTGTGACAGACTGAGTCTGTCAATATTTATTTATTTACATTATTTTATATATTTAAAGTATATATAAAGATATTGTTTATTTATTTTATATTTATTTATTAATATTAATTTTTATTTAGCACTTTTTTTAAACGTGACGTCAGCTGCTCTTCGACAGTCACTTTGTACAATATTATCCCCTCAAGCCTGTAAAAGAGTGGTTAACATTTTTTGCAGACACACTTAAAAAGGGGACAAGTGATGTGTCTTGTAATATTATGCTTTAAACAAAAGTGCCCAAAGGCACAAATGAAAATACTCAATTTGCTGAGTTTTAGGTGTAGGTTTGAATTCTTGAATTGATTGACACTGTATGCTTGAATCTGTCTGTCTAGTTACATGCAGCTTGTGCAATATTATGTTGAAAATATTGCAGTTAGATCATTTACTATCAGATGAATTAAATGTAAAGTTTTTGTCTTGAGTGTCACAGTGGAACAGTGGCTGGAGCCTCTCGGCAAGAGGGTCACAAGCTCAACTTCTGGCCTAGGGCTTTGCTGAGTGGAGTTTGCACATTCTCCCTGTGCAAGGGTGGGTTTCTCTGGGTCTCGGTGTCCATAGGTGTAAGACGGTGTGAACGGTGTGTTTTCTTTTGTCTCTGTGATGGACTTGCGACCTGTCCAGTGTGCACTGAGTAAAGTAAGAAAATGGATGAATGGACATTTTGTCTTGTATCTGGGCTGAATCTGTCAAAAGGATTACCTTTGTAACAGCTTTTTGCCCAGTTTGTGCTATTTAGGGTGCACTACAGGCAACAGACAAGCCAGTGAGGTGATACTTTGTTTTTGATGAGGTGATACTTTGTCTTTGACAAAGTCTTACTACTAAATTATTTTGTCTTTTTTTAATGGTTTATCGACCAAATTGTACTCATTGCAATATAATCAAGACTGATTTTTTTTTTTTAATCATGAAGTAGGAAACAAAATATGCATACTTTTTTCATAACACTGGTTAATGTGTCCTTAAAGTAAATTTGTAAGCCAAATTTGTAAATGGCTGCCAACTACTACGTGCATTCATTTAACTACAGTAACAGACTGAAAATAGGTCAACAATCATTACGTCCATGGAATAACCATTTAGGTTCAAGAAGTCTGACAATTTTTGGTGTTGGTAATTATTTATGCTCAGGTTTGTTGAGTGAAGTATGCAGATAAAAGGTAGGTTAGACTGAAATGGTGAACTTACTGATCTAGAAAAGCAGAAGTTGCATGTGTTTAAATAACATCTCTGCCTTTATGATGCTCCACTGCCCTGCTTGTCTCTCGATATTTAGTTTGGACAGTTGTCTCACTAGTTCTTACTTTTTTCTTTCACATTTTGCAGCATATATTCCAACCTATAAGTCCTCTCTGAGCTTCTTCTTTTTCTTTTTTTTTTTTCAAAAAGATCAAGCTAGATTCATTCAACCTTTATTTATACAGGTTAGTCTCATTGAGATTCATTAATCAGGTACTCAATCAGGTTCATTGAGATTAGTCAGGTACCGGTACTCAAGTTTCCACATAGTTTTCCACAGATGCAGGAACCGCGTTTTGTGGATACACAAACATTTTTTTTATCTTTTCAGATTTGCATCCATGCATAAATAGTGTGTTTGGAAAAGCTGCTCCACATCTCTTTTTTTTTTTACAGTTCCTGGTGTATTTTTGTTTCTAGGTGTCTAGGTTTATTTTCTGCTTTTGTATGGTTGAAAACATTTCTAAAAATGGTGTCATTCAGCATTCCCGTGTAGACGAGCCTCAGCTGAATGCTTTGTTTACATTGAGTGCGTACCTGCATTTCAGAATTACATGTCATTATGTCTGGAAACTGTTGGGAGTCCAGCTGGTTGAATCAGATGGCCGCTTGTCCTGAGACTTGTTCTTCTGAAGGTTTCTTCCTGTTAAAAGGGAGTTGTTCCTTTCTACTGTTGCCTTTGTGCTTGCTCAGGATGGGAGACTGTGACAAAGTGCTGGCTTCCTTGGATAGAGAACTTTACTAATTGACTTTTGTATGTATGTGAATATTTTTGTACAACTTCTGTTGTGATTTCAAGTTCAAGTCAATTTTATTGTCATTCACATCACATCTCCAGGACATCCTTGTAAAAGAGACTGATGATCTCAATGGATTTCTTCCTGGTAAAATAAAGGTATTAAAAAAGGTGTACATGAGGTGGAGCAAAATTATGTAGGATCCCAATTTGGTGCTATATCGGAGTCCGAGAGTCAGAGGTTCTTTATTTGTCATTGTGTACACAGGGTCCCAGTTACGTCGAACAATAAAATGTAAAAGAAAAACAGTAATAAGATCTAAGATATGAACTAAGACAAAGGTTAACTAAAAATACGTTAAGCACTAATAGCATTAAAAACAATACACCCAACAGCAGAATGAACAAGAGTCTGTGTGTAAATAAATTGAATTGAATTGAGTAAACTCATTCAAACTGTACCATTTTATATACAAACCAGATTCCAAAAAAGTTGGGACACTAAACAAATTGTGAATAAAAACTGAATGCAATGATGTGGAGGTGCCAACATCTAATATTTTATTCAGAATAGAACACAAATCACAGATCAAAAGTTTAAACTGAGAGAATGTATCATTTTAAGGGAAAAATCTGTTGTTTCCAAATTTCATGGCGTCAACAAATCCCCAAAAAAGTTGGGACAAGTCCATTTTTACCACTGTGTGGCATCCCCCCTTCTTCTTACAACACTCAACAGATGTCTGGGGACAGAGGAGACCAGTTTCTCAAGTTTAGAAATAGGAATGCTCTCCCATTCATGTCTAATACAGGCCTCTAACTGTTCAATCGTCTTGGGCCTTCTTTGTCGCACCTTCCTCTTTATGATGCGCCAAATGTTCTCTATATGTGAAAGATCTGGACTGCAGGCTGGCCATTTCAGTACCCGGATCCTTCTCCTACGTAGCCATGATGTTGTGATTGCTGCAGAATGTGGTCTGGCATTATCGTGTTGAAAAATGCAGGGTCTTCCCTGAAAGAGATGACGTCTAGATGGGAGCATATGTTGTTCTAGAACCTGAACATAGATCTCTGCATTAATGGTGCCTTTCCAGACATGCAAGCTGCCCATGCCACAAGCGCTCATGCAACCCCATACCATCAGTGATGCAGGCTTCTGAACGGAGCGTTGATAACAACTTGGGCTATCCTTGTCCTCTCTGGTCCAGATGACATGGCATCCCAGTGTTCCATAAAGAACTTCAAATTGTGACTCATCTGACCACAGAACAGTCTTCCATTTTGCCACACTCCATTTTAAATGACCCCTGGCCCAGTGCAGACGTCTGAGCTTGTGGGGCTTGCTTAGAAATGGCTTCCTCTTTGCACTGTAGAGTTTCAGCTGGCAACGGCGGATGGCACGGTGGATTGTGTTCACTGACAATGCTTTCTGGAAGTATTCCTGAGCCCATTCTGTTATTTCCTTGACAGTGGCATTCCTGTTTAAGGAGCAGTGACGTTTAAGGGCCCGGAGATCACGAGCATCCAGTAGAGTTTTACGGCCTTGACCCTTCCTACAGCGATTGTTCCAGATTCTCTGAATCTTTTGATGATGTTATGCACAGGTGATGATAACTTAAAAGTCTTTGCTATTTTACGCTGGGTAACACCATTCTGGTATTGCTGCACTATCTTTCTGCGCAACAATGGTGGAATTGGTGATCCTCTTACCATCTTGGCTTCTGAGAGACACTGACACTCTGAGAAGCTCTTTTTATGCCCAATCATGTTGTCAATTGACTTAATTAGTGTTAATTGGTCTTCCAGCTGTTTGTTATATGCTCAATTTTCTTTTTCCAGCCACTTATTGCTACTTGTCCCAACTTTTTGGGGATTTGTTGACACTTTGAAATTTTGAATCAACATATTTTTCCTTTAAAATGTTACATTTACTCAGATTAAACTTTTGATCTGTCATCTATGTTATATTACGAATAAAATATTGACTTTTGCCGTCTCCACATCATAGCATTCAGTTTTTATTCACAATTTGTTTAGTGTCCCAACTTTTTTGGAATCCGGTTTGTAGTTCAGCATGTTCATTTTTAATTTTTAATGTTAGATTTTATGTTTCCTGTTTAAATCTGTGATTTTATGTGTGGGTTCTTTGCTGGTTCCAACTTCTAAAAAACCAAAATAAATTTAGATAAAAATAAGTTTTTATTAACGATTTACTAGGAGTCTAGCAGGAAATGAGGCGGATCACACCCTGATCTGTTCAGGCTGTCAAAATACGTACCAGTAAAAAAAATTAAAATAAAATAACAAAACAGAAAAAACGCGTAGAAGCGAGAAGCCGCACTTTACGAGGAGCACGTGAACGCAGCATCACTCTGCTTCGCTCGTTCAGTTTCTGGTTCCTCGGGTGACTCTGAATGTCCAGCTCCTCTCCGTCGTCTTCTGTGGACGCATTAAAAAAAAAGCTTCGGTGCGGAAACGGTGGAGTCTGTCGGCGAGTTGAAGTCCGGCTCGTGTGATTCAAACGATGCCGATGAAGTTGGAAAGTGATGAGCGAGGATGCTGAAAGTGGGAAGCCCGCTTTGTTCGGAGGAGCGCATGGTTTCTGTGCCTCCCTCATCCCGCAGCTCCTTCCCTGCTGCTTTGTCTTCTCCTGGCCGGCTGGTACCGACCGGTAGGTGCGAGTTTTCTGGGAAACCACGGGATTTTTATTCATTTATTTGAGCTCTTTCTTTGTTCTTTGCGTTGTATTTACTGTTGGTGGACTGCCCTTTGTTCCTGTGAACATGCATGACAGCCTGTGAGTCCTGTCCATGGTGGGACTGTCTGAGGATTCCTGTTTTTGTCTTTTAAATTCCACATTGTGAGACATTTCTCTTCCTAGTTATTTTATATGGGATTTTGTGTGTGTGTGTGGAAGGGTTTGATTCTTTGTTAATCATTCCCATGTTGAAGCTGCTACACTGCAGTTTTCCAGCCTTTTGCCCATCACTGTGTCAGTGTCAGCAGCCCCTAAATAATTGATTGGACCCTCACCCCCAGTGGCTCTCACCTCATGCTTTTAATAGACTGCCAGGGCACCTTGCATCTTTGTCAGAGGTCCTGAGTTTAATGAGGCTTCAATTTTTTTTTATAACCTACATCCATAGCTTTTTTTTTTTTCAGAAGTGTTCAGTAAAATAAATGTGAGATTGTAAAATCATCAGTGCTTAGAAATTGGACATGTGAAATATTAACACAGCTTGTTCATTCTGGCATTGAAGTCTTTGTTGCTGTACATTTTGCACTACCTTATGAAATATGATATTTTCATACCCAGAGTTAAGTATTACCTTCTCAGTTCCTTTGTTCCCTCCACCCTGCTGCTCTGGCTGCTGGCAGACCCTATTTTTGCTTACACTTGTTCTGTTGAGCATTAAAATTCATTTGAAGAAGAAAAACAAAGAGCATGTATGCAGTGTAAAGCTGTATAAGATCATGAATATAAGCTGCCAAATCACCTAATTATAACAGCTTTTAGATAAACTTCAGTGTTTTCGTTTTAGGTTTTAGTTATTGTAAGCACCTTTTTATGTGTTGTACCTGTCGGACTCTTCACCTGAACACGCGCTGAACCAGCTGCAGAGGTGTGTGTGTTTGTTTGTGACCTTCAAGGACACAGCCTGAGTCTACCAACTGTGACCATCTTGTTTTTTAAAATTATATATTAAATGCAGTCCTTATGAGGAGAATTAGCAACATCTGCTTCATTTTCCTGTTCATTTTTTAAATGCACATTTTTTCTTTTGTACAGTTTTGTGTTCATGTTTTGTGCACAAGATTGTATCTTTTGTTGCCAGACTAATGAGACGCAGTTGAACCAAAATGAGCTGGTGACCTTGACGGGGTGTATTGAAGGTGTACTGTCACCACACTCTTTGTTTTTAACATCAATTTACTGATCTTGCTCCATCGTGGTCTGCCTGTAGCCCCCCACCACCCACACAGTTAACCAATTAGCTAGCCGCTCATTCAGTCTGTTAGCCAGCCGGTAAAACAGTCCTCTCAGCAGCAGCCGGGACGTCCAGTACTTTGAGATGTCAGCCAAAATTCAGAGAGGATTTTTTTTTATTTACCTTTTGAAGCTCTGCCAAGTCATCCATATTGTATTCCTTGAGCTCGGTGCAAGGAAGCGGCAGCTGAAGTTTGCAGTTTTTGGATTAGTCATTGATGTTTTGTCAGTTCAAAAACTGATTTGCAGGTTTTATTATTATTATAATTGTTGTTGATGTTGTACCACCACATAAGACGGTGCATTGTGTGTATTTTTGTTTGTAGAGTTAAAGTCCTCTTTTGTGTAGATTGTCATAATATTTCATATCTACTCCTCCCACGAGACCCGAGCGTTCTTCATTACGGAGGCCTGGATGTTTTTCGGCTGTTAAAGCTCTACGCTATCAATCAGATTCTCAGCTACGCTGTTACAGAACATACGAACGGGCCACAGTTATTAAAACAATTGAAGGAACATCATTTTTCACAGCAACATAAATACATTACCAGTTTGGTATCAATTCATGCCAGATCTTAAGCTTGCCAACTGTTTAAAAACTCGAAGATGCATCATTGGTATTGGAAACAAATTATGGTCATATGGTTCAGTTCAATTAATCAGGTGAAATAGCTGCTCAGTCATTTAGTGTATCTTTAGAAAACGCCTCAGTAACAGATCATGAGCTCATTCTGAGAGCTTTTTTCAAGTTCAATAACCAAATTGTTACATTTCTTTTCTTTTTAAATGTAAAGATTTCCACTTTGCTTTAGCTTGTTGTATGAGTAATGGCAAATGTCCCATTTTTAGACTGATTGTTGGACACACAGACATTTGGGAATCGCTCAAAGTAAAAATGGAGCTGTTGTGATGGTAACAAAATCAAATTTATCTGACTATATCATTTGTTATCATGCCTGTGGGCAACATACTGAATCCCACATTTCCCTGGTGTGCTCATTAGTATACTGTAAAAATGCTCTAAATGTAAGACACTTTCAAAATGTGCAAAAATTAATATACATGTGATTTCACTATAGTTACTCTGTGTTCTGCTGTGCAGTGTTTTATAACACCAGTTTCACAATAAGTTTGTACCTTAAAGATGGATCATACTGTCCATTTGATGAACTGCAAGATGAGGAAGATTAATTTTAGAATAAATTTGCCACTTGTCTGAGCTCAGTTTGTTGTGTATGAAAGTAGGAGCTGAACACTGAAAGCTCTCACGGACATTGTAACAGTATCAAACCTGCTTTATGAGTTATTGAGTGCAAGTTGTGTGTAGGATCTTAAAAGACGCATGCTTTGTGCAAATGCGCTTCTTAAAATATGCTCTACAAAATAGAGCTCTAAAGACGGGCTGAGGAGAGAGGTTATATTTTGATCTAAGCAGGACAGGAACATTCCTTTAAAACCTCAGGAAGTCCTCTCTCTCTTTGATAAATCAGAGGGGACAAACATAAATCTGACCATGAGAATAGTTAGTTTTACTCCATTCATTTTAAATAGCGTACTATTTTTTATTTTTATTTATTACTTTTGAGTTCATCTGTCCGTGTCTGTCTCTCAACAAGTGAGCTGTGCGGTTTGTCTGGGTTGGACTGCGACCATCAGCGGGTCAGAACCATGAGCCTGTATGGGTCCGGCGTCAGCGGGGCTGCAGGTGGTGGAACCAGAGAAAGAGGAGGAGCAGAACATTATCGGGAACAGCGGCGGCGCTCCAGCGACCGTTCGCGTGAATCCTCCCACGAGAGAGAAGGCCAGCTGACGCCCTGCATCAGGAATCTTACTTCTCCAACTCGACAACACGGTACGGAGACAACGTGGAACGAACTGTGATCGTAGACGCACCTTAACACCCTCCAAAATCCTGATTTCGATGCGTTTGACGTTGTTTTTGCGTGGCGTCTTCTCACCTGCAGATCGAGAACGCGGCGATGGAGGCTCATCCTCCAGATCCTCAAGTCCACGCCCTCCAAGGGCTTCTCATTCCTATTCATACATGGGAGGGGCTCTGGCTGGGGGACACATACCACGGTCCCTAGGTCCTCCTGGAAAGGAGCGCCACGCTGTGGGTCAGGGACCCTGCGATATGATCTACGTGTACGACTTGAGCAGCAAAGAGCATCGATCTGGGCTGCGACTGGGAGAACGAGTCACGCTCATTGTGGACAACACGAGATTTGTGGTGGATCCTGCCATCTTCACAGCTCATCCCAACACCATGCTGGGCCGGTAATGATGCCAAGTTATGGTTGATACTTGGTGTAAAGGTCATTTTATTTAACCTAATCCTCAGGCTGTTCACTAATGAACAGATATAAAAAAAACACACAAGAACACGCATTAGAGAAATAATACTTAACAAGTCAGTTTACATTTAACATTTAACTTCTTAAACCTGTTCTTCATTAGTTCATCAGGACCTGGACTAAAACAGTGACATTAATAATGCTCAGTCGTAATATACATCATCGGACTTTAAACAGCAAAGAAAATCTATCACTTGTGTTTTATAAACTTTTTTATAAAAAATAACTTTTCTTCATCTTTTGTTTTATTAATGGTGTAATTTCTAGAAACCATACGCTTTTGTTGTTTACATATTGTTGACTTTATCTTTTTTTTTTTTTTCCCCGAGTAACTCCAGTAGATTTTCTGTTGAATTTAAACTTTTGGTTTCTACTTCTGTTGCTGTCGGTACTTCCAACAAGTGTCTGAGTCACGTTGTTGTTTTTATTGTCCAGCTCCCAAAGGAAAGAACGTGGACAATAATGTTGAGTTTGAGTGTGTCTGTTCGCAAAATATGTCATTTACTTCTTGCCAAATTTTAATGGAACATGCAGAAAGTAATCAGTGGATTTATATTTGGAAGAGATTAACTTTTGGATTTGACCCAGTTCAAGATGGCTGACATGGTGAAGTGGACCTAAAAACACAAAAATGGCTGAAACAGTCAATTTGACAGATTCTGACCTAAGATTTGGGGTGGTAGTAGCTAAGAATAATCTACAACTTCGAATCTGAGCCCTAAGAGATTGCACATCGTCTTTATTTTTTTTTTAATTTGTCATTAATTATTAGAATAATCTTTGTCTGTCTGTTAAAGTATCCCTTAAACAATCTGTATCAGTTATCGGCCAAATAAGTTTTAACATATCGGATATCAGCCAGAAATCCAATATCGTGCAGCCCTAACTTAAACCACTGAATTGATTTATTGCAACTTTCAGGAAATAATTTATAGCTGTATTACTTCAACTGATTAACTATTGGAGTCAACCCAGTTCATGATGGCCGCCATCAACTGACCGTAGAAACACAAAAGTGGCTAATTTAGTTACGGTAGTTTTACAGATATTGAGCTAAAGTTTGACGTGGTTGTAACTGAGAGTCATTCCCAACGTGTACTCCGAGAACAACATGTCGCATGAAATTACGCGTAATGTTCATAGATTGACAAAAAAAAAAAAAGCCGTAATTATGTTGTTTCCTAACATAAAATGAGATTAATTTAAATCTCTAGCAAGAAACGTGGCAAATTTTATGGATTCCTTAAAGGTAGGCTAAGCCTTTATATCAGTGGTTCTCAAACTGGGGTCCCAAGACCCCAGTGGTCTGCGAGCCAGTGCTTGGGGGTCCGCAATTTTTATTTTATTTGTATATTTTTACAATTTATTTTCAATTCAGTTTATTTATATAGTGCCAAGTCACAACAGAAGTCAACTCAGGGCACTGGACAAACATATATATATATATATATATATATATATATATAAAACATAAGTTAATAACATTATTTATCTACAAGCACACAGATATTTAACAGCAGAAAATCACATCTTCTTAATTCTAAATTTTCTGGGGGAAGACCCCCCCCCCCCACCCCTGCCCATTATTTGCATTCCAGCATGAATTGGTTTACAAATGAAGCCCTGTTACTTGGTTCGACTACTGCTGTTCAGTTTTCTGTTATAATTTGAAGAAGTGTCGATGCATTTATTATGTTCATTGTGTGAATAGGTAAAGTTTAAAAGTGGCTTTTGAAACTGTTAATTTCCTCAAAACTAATCTTTGGAAATTGAAATTAAAAATGTGTTGATTAAGTGGGTCTTGAATGAAAAATACTAGGGGTGCACCGATCGCAGATTTCTGTCCGATTTCTAAAAAGCCTGAGCTGCCGATTCCGATTTTGGCCGATACCGATGTAGTTTTATAAGCGACACTGTCGAGTGTTATAAGGTCACAATGCACCTTCAATTTTCCAATCTTATTTAATTGAAAACACACCCTTGAACGAGATCCTAGAAACAAGGCAAACTTCTTTTAACTGGCCATGAGGTGGTGCTCTGAAATATAAATGAAGTTCAGACAATTGTTGTTAAAACAAAACAAAAAAAATCTGTAAAATCAGTTTCTCGTGCAAGTATCGTCCGATTTCCAATTTTCCAAAATTAATCGTAAAAAATCCTCCATGTTTAAAAGTATAAAAATTGTACCAGCACTATTAAAGAACAGGTCTTAAGTATTGATGTTACACAAATATTTTCATTGCATTAAAGAGACACATTGAAGAAACCTATTTAATAAACATGAGGGGGCCCCTGAACCCCAAAAAGTTAGAGAACCTCTGCTTTATATCATAAACTATGCTCCACAAATTTAATTTCTTGAGTTGTGGTGACTTTAATCAAGTCAGTGGTTTAGATTTTATTTGTTTTGATCTGGTAAGATCTGGAAACGTACTACTGTGTTTAATTATTACAAAGAGACGTTGATGATCATTTAAAATGTTTTCAATGGGTCTTGGCAGCTTTAAAGTTTTTCCATAACAGAAAAACATCAAATCAGATATCAGCTCAGTTTGTTTTTTGTCATTGTTGTAACTGCAGCGTTTTTGAACACGTTCTTCGCCTGCAGGATGTTTAGTACCGGGCGGGACAACAATTTCACTCGACCCAATGAGAAAGGAGAGTTTGAGGTGGCAGATGGTATCAGCTCCACCGTCTTCAGAGCCATCCTGGTGAGAACTTTTGTACAGATTGTCGTTCTTTCTCATTTTCTCTTTTCTTGCCCTCTCCTTCCTCCTCTTCTGCTGACCACTGATCCCATTCTGTCATGCTGTCGGTGTCATTCTCCTGAATCCTCTGATCACATCCTCCTTCCTGCCCCCTTTAGCCTTCATCTCTCTTCTTCCTCTCATTTCACTGAACATTTTCTATTCTTTTGGTTTTCTTCCCGTTTTAGTAAAGGGTTTCAGTTCATCCTGTAAAAAAAAAAGACTGCCGTCTTATTCGCGTTTATTCTTTTTTCACTCATTTTTAAACCTTATTATTGTTTACGTTCCACATTTCAGCATCACTTCTTCTTCTGATAGGATTTTTTTCTTCCAGCCAGTAAAAAAAAACACATTTTGTCAAAGTTGTCCGGAGCCAATTTGGACTTTATGTATCGTGTAAACATTTTTTTTAGATCTGGACTATAACTCGCAGATACACATTTAGAATCTTGTCCAATTAACATATGTCTCTTTATTTTTCCTAATTTCTTATACTTTATCATTATAATTCAAATTTTTCTATATGTCAGCTTGGGAATTGATTGTTTCTATCAATAATGTTCCTTTCCCGGAGCCTAATTGAAATTGATTTTAACGTAATTATTTAGATTCTTATTCAAAATCTGCATTTCCAAAGTCGCCGTACAATCTTCAGAACCAGCTGCTGTTGTAACCTCTAACCACAACATCAGCTTTTTTATTTTAAGAAACTGCTCAGTGAGGCAAACATGATCGTATATCTGAGAATATGTGCAGTCTCCATCAACTGTCCACTGCCCAGAAGTTACTCTAATTATTTTTGTAAACTAGGACTGTTCAGACATCTTTTTTTTATGGTGCGTCTTCTTTTGAACACAAACAATTATTTAATTGAACATTTTTTTGGAACCATCAAATCTAAATTGTGTACAGGTATACCCTGCTTGTGAACTTTGAGCAATAAAGAAGATCTTATGAAATATTCCCATTATTTGTGGAAAAGGTTGTTTTTTTTTAGCTACATTTCCTTTTCCTCGGTGCTCAGAAACTGAAAACAAATCATTATAAAACATTATAAGAGGAAGTGAAATATTAAAGCTGCTCATTGCAAAATCATGAGCAGCGTTTAAAAGAAACTAATCATAAGAAACAAAAATCACATTACGATATTTTTCGGTCTATAAGGCGCAATAACAATGAGCGGGTCTGTTTTCATACATAAGGTGCATCGGATAATAAGGCGCATTAAGCGAAACAAAACTGTCAGATTAGTCAAACTTTATTCATCTCATTTGCAATAACTCTCAACATTGTTCAGTTGTAACATAAAATTGGTTCGAGGTCAGTAAGTACAACCAGAATTAATACACAAAGCGCACCAGATTATAAGGCTCACTGTCGATTTTTGAGAAAATTAAAGGATTTTAAGTGCGTCTTATAGTCTGAAAAATACGGTATTTTTTTAAATTTTTTATACAGATGGTTTATGTGTCCTGTAATTTAAAATGTGTCAATGGTTGCAAACTATCACGTATGTTTGTTTACCTACAGAAAAAGCTGAAATGACTGAAAATGTGTCAAAAATGATGACTTTCATTAGAGAGGCACTTTTAATTTAGAAGTCAGACAATTGTGATGTATTATTATGTTTTTACACTCAGATTTGTTGAGTAAAGTATGCAGATATATGTGCTGTGTTTACATTGAATGCGTACCCGCATTTCAGATTTGCACATCAATATATCTGGAAAATTACTGGCATAAACTCTTTCAAACTACACTGTCTGATATAGTTAAGGATAACCTTTTCTATGTTTGACTTAATAGTTTGTAATGAGTACCTTTTTAATATACCAGAATTTTTTTTTTTAAGTCCTTTTGGTCAGTTTTTGTGTACTTGTATCTCCCAGCAATACAAAATATAGTGTTTGCTAGTTTGTGAGCGTCTGTGGTGGTAGATCAGTAGATAAGTGTGTATATAAGGAAACTCCAAGGAGAGATGAAAGTGAGCGAAGCAGGAAGACCGAGCAGGAGGTGAACGGTGCAGAAGCGTCGTGTCCTGCTCGCCCCGAGCGTCTCCCAGGAAGTCGTCTCTCTCAGAGGCTGTGCAGAAACTGGAGCAAGGAGGGACGTGACGTCAGCAGCGACTGCTTTCGTCTTTTCTTTCCCTCTTTACTCCTCCCCCGTCGGTGAAAGTGCTGCCTTTTTTTTTTTTTTAAACCTTTTTATCCGTCACTCTCCATCCCTCTCTTTCTCTGTGAGGGAGGCAGCTTTAATAATGGCGTCCTGTTTTTCCTCCCCTGCTCGTGCGCGCACATGAACGCCCTCCTCCCTGCCTGTTTATTCATCTCTCTCTCTCTCTCTCTCTCTCTCTGTGTGTGTGTGTGCATGGGCTGGTGAAAATGGCAGGATTACTACAGGTCGGGGATAATCCGCTGCCCTGACGGTGTTTCCATCCCCGAGCTGAGGGAGGCATGCGACTACCTCTGCATCTCCTTCAGCTACAGCACCATCAAGTGCAGAGATCTCAGTGAGTACACAAACTCTGCTCGTTGTTCATGCGTTGTCTCAACTCGGTGGCGCTGCAGACTTGTTTCTGTTCATGCACAGAGTTTGGTGAGTATGAACTACAGACCAGTTTGCTGTTTTGGTACTGTATGAATAAATGATGCAGCAGGCTCACAGGGAAATCTCAACAAAGCTCAGCTTGTGCTTTAATGCTGTCTGCATGTGTGTGTGTTTGATGTAACCACGACGTGTTGTCAGTGTGTCACGTATGTGCATTTGTGATATTTTATTGCACTTGTCCGTGTTGATGCCTCTTGTTTTTGTGTGTGAGCGTGTGGGAGGAGCAGCTTCAGCTCACAGCTCAGCTCTAAGTAGGTCATGATTAGCTTTGCGATTTACCGCTTGTTACGTGGGCCCATAACTAACCAGAGCAAACAGCTTTGATTTAGCCACAACCGGATGTGAAGCTCCATGTTTTTTCTTGGTTTTGTTTCAGTTTTGGGTAATCCCACATCGAGGCTCCTCTGAAATACAAGCTTTTACTTGTTTATTTAGCAATGGAATATGTTCAGGTGTACAAGCAAATTCAGTTTTTTATTTTTAAATGATTTTAGTTATAACTGATGCAGTGAGCAGAAACAGAACTGCCCAAAAAAGTTCCCAGAGTTTACAGGCCTTCTCTGAAGAAAACGTTCTAAAAGAGCCGTTTGAGTATGAAGCACAGCGATTGTGTGAATCGAGCTCGTTAAATGTTTTGTAGAGCGTCATAAAAAGACAACAGAGCTGGCTGCAGCCAGACTGTTAGTTTCTAAAACCTCCTAAAAAGTCTTTAAAACAGCTGCCATTTTGTTGTCTGAACATTAGAGTCCGGTTCCTCGCAGTCTGGAAACGTCTGAAGTTTGTGTTAAGTGTTGTTAGCTCTGGATAAGGATATTGTGTTCTTCCACTCTAAAGTGTTTTAATAAATCTATTTGTTTTGTTCCTGTTTGTGTGTGTTTTTTTTAGTTGATGCAACTAATTGCAGTGGGAACAAATGTTGCCTGTGTGAGAGGTTGCTGTGAACAAAGATTTAATTCAAACTGGGTCCTCTGCTTGTGACGCAGCGCAGGCTCACTCCTCGAGTCCGGTTCATTTTAGGCTCAAATGACTCAAAATTCAAACTAAAGTAAAGAAATAAGCTGTAAATGAATAAAAAACAGTTCAAGTGTAAAGAAAAGTTTTATAGTCTTTTTAAAAACCTGGAGAACAACTGAACAAGGAGACTAAAACGTACAAGTCTTCTGATTTCTTGATATGAAAAAATAAGAAGACTCATGATTATTGCACATTATTGTTGTACATGACCTTTATTCTGTAAACTTCTCTTAAAGTTATTTAAGTATTTGTATTCATTTTATGTTTTGAATCGTCCTTGCTGACACGTCACACATTAAAAAAAAGTGTTCATAAACAAACTTGTTAATTACCAAGGCACTTTTTTTTAAATTCAGCTTTATTTATACAGGTTAATCCCATTGAGCCTCGGGGACTTATTTAAAAGAGAGACTGAATTTTAACAAAACAACAGCGGACAACAAGGCCAACAATAGACAATCATAAAGGATGCGTACAAATTTAAATTATTATTTTAACAAGTGAAAATATAATGGTAAGGGAAAGTAGCGAAAAAACAGCTTAATGGTATAATATCTATAATATATATACTATCTAGATTGTATAAATCGTCTACAGGTAAAAACACCACGGCAGATTTCTGGATGCTTTCAACAAATAGTCACGAACATTCACTTTGGTACAGACATTTAGAAACAAACATCATTTAATCTTTTAAATGCTTAAACTATGACCTGAAGTGATTTCCTTCAATAAACAGAAATAAACGCTTTTAAAACATTTTATTTGCGGCTGCTGTTGTACTAAATAAGAATATTTATGAATGCATTAAGTCATTGCCAAGTCTTATAGAATTTTATTAGTTTATTTATTGTACAAAAATAAATCTGTTTAAATAAAAAAAAAAAATAATCAAAGATGTCTTCTGTAAGTATCTAATATTAGACGCTCTAATATTAAACATAAATGTGAACACGAAGGGCTGACTGAAATTGGAGCCTGGTGTCTTTTCGGAGTAGTTTTGTGTTTTTGTTGCACGTTTTAACAGTAAACTAAGTGTCTCCATCTTTGTGTCCGTTTCAGGCGCCCTGATGCACGAGCTGTCCAACGACGGAGCGCGGCGTCAGTTCGAGTGTTACCTGGAGGAGATGGTGCTGCCGCTGATGGTGGCCAGCGCTCAGAGCGGCGAGAGGGAGTGTCACGTGGTGGTTCTGACTGACGACGACGTGGTGGACTGGGACGAAGAGTACCCGCCGCAGATGGGCGAGGAGTACTCGCAGAGTAAGAGAGACTCATTGGGGGTTACATTCCAGACCCCCCCCACACACACACACACACACTCACACAATAAGTACAAATCGGCGAAGTAGGGGTGTTATATTTATATTTTAAGGTTTTATAAACCCTTCCTACACTCTTGCAATGTTCTAAACTCTTAAATGTACGTCATTTTAACAATATACGTATATGTACTGTACAGTACTGCAAAATTTTACTCACCAGCTCTGCAGAAACATTGGCTCGGTTCTGGTCCGGCAGACCTACCCTGCTGGTTCTGGTCAGCTCTCTGCAGCCCTTGAGCGCCAAAATACTTTTGGAGGGAGCCGGACCTTCAGATGGCCGGTGTGGTCCTGATGGAGCCCAAATCCGAAAAAAATCCCGGTGGTCTCCGGAGCGGATGCCAGACCACCAGGCAGCGCCTCCCCGCTCTGAAGGCCTGGTGGGCTGGCGGATGGCACTCAGATTTACAGATAAGTCTGGAGGTCCGGTTCTGGTCTGGTTCTGGTCAGTTCCATGCGTCTCTGCATCCGCTAGGCACCGAAGTCATTATGTATAAGGACCAAACTTTTTCAGATGGGATCAAAACTTTCCCTCTATTTCAGCAGAAGACAACAGGGCTTCTGGGTGGAGCACTGTTGGCTTCTGGGAAATGTAGTCATTTTGAGTGGTGATACAGTGTAGGCTAATTGAGAGAAAACTACAAAATGGCGGCGCCTGTCCAAAGTATTTTTTCGTTAACTTTTTATAGTACGGTATCCCGTACTGAGTAATATTAAAGTTGACAATCGTTTGTCGTGTACAATTTTTTTCTTGTGTACAATCTTACTTTGAAAAACCGCAAAAGAGCGAGTCCACGAACGTCGAACCGCGAAGTAGCGAGAGACTACTGTAGACGCAGTAATTCATGTTCCCTGCACACGTTGGGATGTATCAAAACAAATGTGTCAAAGTGTGTTAATGTACTCAACCCTTGGATCTGCTGTGAGAATATTTATCTTTATACCAACCTTCAGTATGAAAGCTGCACAGTCTCATACACGAGCTGAAGATCAGCTGGAGGTCCAGCTCCAACTACCAGAAGTGTTCCTGATGCACCATGAACTGCAGCAGCTGCTTGTTTTACACTTTTTGACAAAAGTAGTTCAGACACTTGGTACATTTGAAATGAGATTATCTTCTGATAAACTTTCTTTTAAGATCTTGTTTCTTTCTATGCTGTTGTAAGAAAAATAATATGAAAAGGCACAGATAAGTCTGACACAATTCAGTAACTTAGATAAGTTTTGTTTTATTGCTGATATTTGATATAATTCTATATGTGTATGATCAAGTCTTCTCATCTCTGAGCCTTCGTATTAATAAACAATCAACATAATTAGCTGCTTTTTTAGAGATAAGTTACAAATGAAACATTGTAGGTCCATCCATCCATTATCTTTACCCGTTTATTCCATTTTGGGTCACGGGGGTCGCTGGTGCCCATGTCCAGCAATCACTGTGCGAGGGGCGGGGTACACCCTGGACGGGTCGCAAGTCCATCACAAGGACACATAGAGACAAATGAGACAAACAACCATTCACTTTCTCACTCACACCTAGGGACAATTTAGAGTTAAACATTGTAGGTTTCTCTTTTAAATTATAGAGAAGTGACAAGTGGAGTTCAGTTATAAAAATTACAATTTGTCCTTTTCTCTACAGTCATCTACAGCACCAAACTCTACCGCTTCTTCAAGTACATCGAGAACAGGGACGTGGCTAAATCGGTGCTGAAAGACCGAGGACTGAAAAAGATCCGACTAGGAATAGAAGGTACTGGGAAGTAGTACTAAAGTATTTACATTTTGGGTTGATTTTTGTAGATTTCAAATGTTCAGTTTCCCTAAAACTGAGTACAGAGCAACTTGTCAGTTAGTAGGTTGTTCGCACAGCTCAGGTGAGCTCACATTTGTTGTTGTGCCTTGACAATCTATAAACAATATGAATAGATAATGTGGGAGGCCATTTTAAAACTTCAGCTGACCAGATTCTCCTGAATACTAAAGGTAGAGTCTTACTGGGCTGTGACTGGTGGACACTCCAAACTACAGTTGTTGTCTCACTCAGTTCTGAGTGTTTGTGACGAAGTGACCAGCAGGCCGTGCGGCCACGTGTTGGTGTCCACGTTTGAAACTCAAAGCCTTTTTATGTGCACAGATTGGAAAAATGTATCCTAGACCGGAGGTTCCTAAACTTTTCCATGCCGTGGCCCCACAAACAGCGTTAGCTTCTGGCTGAGGCCCCCCCTCGCAAACCCACAAACAGTGCTAAAAAATATGTAAAGAAGAAACATAAACTTTTAGAATGTTTTAACTTTTATTCACTATATATAATTAATTATTAAAGCTGCTGAGCATAAAAATGTTAACGAACATGTTTTAAACACCATTATATTCTCACTCAAGTGGCGCTGAAGTTTTGAAGGTTTTAAACACTCGTTTGCGAGGGTCTCCAGACGGACGACACATTTCAGGCAATCGTGCAATTTTGTCCTTGCTGTGCTTGAAGAGTAAAGCAGCTTGATGCATTTGACTGGCAGCCAGTCAGAAAGATGAGCATGGTGAACAATATTTAATTATCCATCCATCCGTTATCTTTTACCCGCTTCTTCCATTTTGGGTCACGAAGGTCGCCAATGCCCATGTCCAAGAATCACTGTGCGAGGGTCGGGGGACACCCTGGACAGGTCTCCAGTCCATCACAGGGACACATTCACTCTCTCACTCACAATTTAGAGTTACCAATCAGCCTAACATGCATGCTTTTGGTCTGTGGGAGGAAACCGGAGTGCCCGGAGAAAACCCACGCATGCACGGAGAGAACATGCAAACTCCACCCAGAAAGGCCCCTGGACCAGGATTTGAACCAGGGACCTGTTCGATGAGAGGTGGCAGCTCTACCAGTTGCGTCATGCTGCCCGTATTTAATTATATTATTATAAAATATATTTTAAAAATAATGATTGAAAAATAGATTTGATTTTATTACATTAATTTAAAAAAAAAAATTAAAACAAATATATATTTGCTTTTTAATCTTCTTCTCTCCAGCTCTCTGAGCCCCCACTTTAAAAGCACTGTCCTAGACCATGCACATTAGTTTGTTACCCACCTTGTACCACCTCTGGAGCCACCTCCACGTTTATGATTTAATCTACTCAAGATGAGCAGATTTGTACTGGACTTTTAATGATGTATTTATCATTGGTATGTTTTTATTATTATTTTTTTTTTATCTGACCATGTTTTCTGTTAGAGAAGAGCTCCTATGCAGAGATCAAATTACAGCTCCTGCACGCTCGAGACAGATTTGAGACGCCCAAGACAAAATTAAGTGGTTCATTTTTTTGGATTCTTTTAGAAGGAAATTAAGAATTCTCACAAATTTCAACACATTGTGGAGACACTGTCATAAAATGTCGCTCACCAACTGTAGAAGTGACAGCCCAGTGAGATACTGCCTTAAATATAGTACCTTAGCATCAACGTCTCTCTGATTCTGTAATCCCAGCATGGTAGTGGTATTGAAATGGGGCTACACTGGTTCTTGCTGGCCCATGTGAACAGGCTAGCATAAGCAGAGCAGCCGTTTGGTGTTTCTCTTCTCTTAGTTTGGTAAATCTAAAACTACAGCTAGTTAGCATAAAGACTGGACCTGTACGTCTAAGCTAGTCACAGTCAGCATCACTGCAGCCCACTTGAATTTTGCATGAAAGCAAATATGTTTATCTCCCAAGACTTTCAGCTGATTTTATAAATAAAAAACTCAATTTCTCACCAGGATACCCGACCTACAAGGAGAAGGTGAAGCGACGTCCCGGGGGTCGTCCGGAGGTCATCTACAATTACGTCCAGCGCCCCTTCATCCGTATGTCCTGGGAGAAGGAGGAGGGAAAGAGTCGCCACGTGGACTTCCAGTGCGTCAAGTCCAAGTCTACCACCAACCTGGCTGCCGCCGCCGCAGACATCCCCCAGGACCAGCTGGTGGTCATGCACCCCCTGGGGCCACAGGTGGACGAGCTGGACACTCTGCCCCAGCAGCCGTCCGTCGGGCAGGGGGCGGAGAACCACCCGAGCCCCCAGCTCGCGCAGAACCAGCAGGCTCAGGATAACTCGAGCCAAGCGGGGCAGAACCAACAGCACAGCAGCTACAGTCAGAACACGTACCACTACGATCCAGACCCCGACAATCCGTCCCCCTCTGCATGACCCCCCCCCCCCACCCCTAAAAACTGCTTCAGTTCTGTTGCTCCAGTTCCAAGACAACACGAGACGTGGAACCCTGGTTCCTCTCTAAATAAAGCACTCCTGGCTCTCAGTGTGAACACAGACCACTTCCTGAGACACAAACCACAACTTTTCCTCCTGCTGCACTGGCACGGCATCAAAAACAAAAACAAAACGCACATCAGCTGCTGCCCAGCTGTTTTCTGCATCTGACCAAAGGAGACTTTAGATGTTCTGTACAGGTGAAAATCCAGAGTACTGTTTTACATTTTACTGAAGCGCGTGTCGTACCTCTGTGGAAAATGTGAATTTTAGTGCCTCTTCATGGTTTAGTTGTTATACCTGATGATGAAATGTTTTCCCTAGATATTTAAACGTTTTTTTATAAAGTGTTGTTTTACATGTTGAGATTTTTGATTTTTTTTTTAAAGCTGTTCCACTGGGTTATTTATGTTTTTACAGCAGATTCATCTTCACTGCTGTGAGCACAGGATGTGAAAAGATGTTGAGCTTTTTTCTTTTTTTAAAGTAAAATCTATTCACACCTTTAACGAGTTGCTTCTTCATTTGAATAGTTTTCTAAAGAAAAAGTTTTCTAAAGCGACACGAGTCGTTTCTCTTTTGGTCTCTACTTTCTGCAGGGGGCGCCGCTGCAATTAGAAGCAACATTAAAGTTTTTTGCCTTCCTGCAAAAACGTGGGCTCGAACCTGCAGCCTCAAGATTACAAGCCCAGCTCTGAGCACGGAGCTACTAAAGAAAGAGCAAAATAAAATTTAAATATTCAAATAGATTTGCTAGGAAAGAGGAGCACTTTATGTAAAACAAAATAAAAATTCAGTCTGAAAACAGCTGATCTGATGCCAAAAAAAAAAGAAAAGTTAAAATTTGAATAATAAGCTTTAATGAGGACCTCCAGAGTAAGTTTAGTTTGTGGTTTTCAGAGTTCTTGTAGATTTGGCCGAGGATGAAAGAAACAACCCGAGTCAGAAATGGAAATACGAGGAATAAATAATGCATGTGCTGCTCCCTCTGAAACCATGATTATTTAATGCTCACATCAAAGCGTTCATTGTGCTTTAAATAACGTTTTCAGGGCAAATTATCAGAAATTAACAATCCTGGAGGATTTTCCATTTTCTACACAATTCTCTGAGCTCTTTCCCCCAAAATACCATCATTTGCTAAAGCACTCACCGTCCATCGAGCTGCTCGGCTGCTGAAGACAGATCTGCAGCTGGATGGCAACATCATTTTAAAAATACCACCGGGCTGTGCTGATTGGCTGAGAGGAAAGGAGACCCCCGACCTGCTGAAGGAAACGAGGACGAACAGTAAACACCCACGGGTCCAGGCTGACAGAAACAAATAATTTTATTTTAAAAATATTTCACCGCTGATACATACAATACACTCATCATACTCATATATATTTGCATAAAGTATACTCTTAACATGGTAATATTTAAAGATTTGATACATTGTCAGGTGGGGAGGGGTGTATCAACAAGGGAGCTGTGTTGTAGTGTAAAACTGAATCGGGGGGGCTGCCGGTTGTAGCCTGATCAGAGGAAGAATTGGGATGGGGGGTGTCAGCCTGAGTCCAAAAAGTACTGAACAAACAGAAGAATTGAAGAGACTTGAACAGGAAGTGTTGCAGTTTTATGAATCCTGCAGATTTCAGCTGCTTGATCAGATTTAAACTTTCTGCCTGATTGGAACGTAAACATGTTTTTAAATGTTTGTTGAGTAAACAATAAACTATGTTTAAACAAAATAATCAATGAGCATTATTTTAATGTGTGTGAGAACAAAATCATATAAAAAATCTCACGTTTAGTTTGTTTTTGTTTACAGGGAGTGGTTTGTTTACTGTAAACAAATGTGATTCACTCACATTTGTTTTGGGTTTTTGACTGTTTTTTGTCATAATGAATTGGATTGAAATTGTTCCGAATTTCTTTAAATGTCATGGTTATACCGTAATAAAAATAAAGGTTTAAAATAGTTGCAGAATGCATCATAAAGATTCATAAATTTGGCTTTATTTATCTTTTTCTGAAGCATAAACATTTTTTTTTTTATGCAGGCAGGCAGCAGGACACCTCAGGCCTCCATCGTCTGATCAAGCAGCTTAAAGAATAAATATGAATTTAACTTCAGCCCTCCTGGACGCCCGTCCCTCTGGACTCTGTCCACAGACAGGAAGTGATCAGAGACACTGAATAACTCCTTACCCTTCATCTATTTTCATATTTACTTTTGAATATGTTACTTTGACTCAACAGCTGTGATTATTCACAGTAGATCTCATTAATGAATTCCAAAATTGACCAAATGTAAGAAAAAAAACAGCCTTTTTTAAATAAACATGCTCCGAAAGACATTTGAACAGTAAGGAATTCAAGATATTTGTCCAGTTTTGTTTTAAAACCAGGGAAAAGTGGCAGATTTTTATAGTAAAGGGACAAATTTAATTCCTGCTGCAGACGCACAAAAAAAAAAAATTACCTTTTCTGTAGAATAAAAAATCTGAACTAAATTTAGCAACCAGCAGCCTGAAGTACTTCACGAGTGATGGAACCCTGTGAACCCAGATGAAAACGGTTGTAAATTTAGTGCGCTGATGTTAAAACGAGCTTCTAGAGCGTGTTGACTGGAAGAAAGCAGCTCCGTCTAACATGGCAGTGAAGAGAGTTCCTCATAGAGGAGGTTTAAATGGTCTTTGAGTCAAATCGCTTCCTTCCGAGACAAAAATTTAATTAGGAGCAACGTTACGTACACCCGCACACCGAGTCGCCACCATCACTGGATTCAGTTAAACTCGTTTCGTACAAAAAAAAAAAAAAGAATAAATAAATAAAACCTGTGCGAGTTTCACTCCAGCGAAGCTCCAAGAATCAGGAGAAGAAAAAAAGCAGCAGGTCTCCACAGGTTTCTGAGAACTGAACGGCATCTGTTCTGCAGCCAGACCCTTCAGGTCTGTGAGGACCTGAACGAGGATTTTAAAAGTAGACGGATTACAAATCCACCTGTTTGAGCAACTTTTATACAGTTTGATCTCTGGGAATATTACAGCTTAATCCAGCATGGATTGAGTCAATCCAGTCAGATCTCACTGACCAAAAACTAATTATTTAGTGCTAAATCCTGATTTATTTATAATTATGTTTCACTTTTTCTTCCGTCTGTTTGAGCTTATTTTGTCCATTACAGAATGAGAACATATAGAACCAAACCCTTAATGCTTCTTGGGTTCACACGGACACTTTCCATCATTTTACATTTTACACCAATTAGAACGTATAACGTCAAGTCATAACGTTGCTAAGCTCACTGGTTTGGTGCACGTGGTTCCAGCTGCACGAAGTATCTTTTACTCCTTTTGTTTCACCTTTGACCCATTCTGAATGCATTCTTCATCCTTTATGCAAATAAGCTTAGCTGTTACACCGGTTTGTCTCAAAGCCCAAACAGTTCATGTCGATCCAATTTATAATTTACTGGCAGAAGTCAGCTGGTAAAACGCTATCAAACGTAAAAACACAGGTTTCCGTGGTCCTCATCAGTTTGGCGTTTTGCATTTATTATGTAGATTGTTGTAAGAGTGCATGATTTTATAGATAATTTTAAGCTTCTTGTATTAAAAAATAACACTGCTAAATAAACCAGGTGAGCAACGTGTTTGACTAAAGAATGAAATTGTTCTCTTGGTTTCTCTCTGGTACTTTGAGGACCTGTGAAGACCTCCGCTGAGCAGCATCCCTCAGAATTCTGTTAAAAGTGTTTATTAGTTTCTATTGAAGTACTGCAGGCTGTACTGGGACACTGAGTAAAAAAAATCTAATCTGCTCTGGTTATCTGACAAACCAGACTCCCGTCAGGGTGAGTTGTGGAGCAGGTCACAGAAAAAGTAATTAGGTAGTCGAGGAAACAGCAGGCGAGTATCTTTTCCTAAAGCGTGGCATTATCTGAATGAAGTGAAGTCACTAAATAAACACCCTGTTGTTGATAAATGTCCATGAAGGTTCTTGGAAGTATCTTCAAAGTGAGTCTTCAGAGGATGTGAGCTTACTTCCAGCCCAAAGAGACCTTTTTGGGGGAGGGGGAGTTGAGTTTGCAAATAGGTCCAAGGCGACGTGAACATAACAGAGGGATCCAGCAGGATGCAGAAACCAAGTGCTCCCCACCTAACATCATTCCACCTTACAACACACTTTACCCACTGTCCATGAACGCCTCAGGAGTCCTGGGTAGTTTGGGGGTTAGCTGTTGACCTGGTAACACGGGCCCAGAGCCACTGCGGGACAGAATCAGTTGGTGAAGGAGCATGGACTTGTTAGCACCACAGTTCTGTAACGTTTTGTTTCCGTGTTGTGGACTGTTGTCAGGGCAGCGGTCTCTCCGAGGCCAGAGCTGCAAAAATGACGCATCGTTTGGAGCAAGAGCCATTTGAATATCCTACTGTCTGTTTCAGGTCCACCTACGAGGAATGATGAGTCAAAAAAGTAGGAGTGAAATCTAAAGCGCCTTCCCAGTCGGAGCTGGAAACAACATCTAAGAGAAATATTCTCTCCTCTGTAAAAATCTGGAGTATTTACACCTAAACACTCCTGCCTGTTGAGGCGTTTTTGCAGTGTAGTTGTTGGGAAAAGAGCAGGAAACATGCGAGCCCAACTGGACTCTCCATCAGTGGCTCTGGATCGTCCCTCCCTGCTTTCTCACAAAGGCCAGCTGGACTCTCCATCAGTGGCTCTGGATCGTCCCTCCCTGCTTCCTCACAAAGGCCAGGGCAGGTCGCTGAAGTCCACGGGGCCGCCCAGGCCGGCGTCCGCCTCCAGCAGGGACATGATGACCGCCATGGCCGCCTCGTCGTTGCTGAGGCTGCTGGAGCCGGGCTCGTCTATGATGTCTATGCTCAGGTGGGAGTTGTCGCCTAGACAGAGGGCGAGCCGATGAGAAAACACTTTTTTTTTGGGGGGGGGGGGGGGGGGGGGAACAAACGGAAGGAAAATGTTTGTGCGACTTACTCATGATGGACTGGTTGGAGTAAGGGTAGCCAACAGAATCAGGTCCAGCAATGATCCCTGTACTCGGCAGCTCGGGTGTTCCCCCATTCTGAATCTGTGGGGGTTGGGGAGGAAACATGAATCAGTTAAACAAGAAAACAATCCCACTCCATATCACGATCCATCTTTGTCCACAAAGTATCAACAGAGACACACGTAGGCCTGTCGCAATAAACAATAAATCAATTAATCGCATGATTAATGAAAATGAGCAACCTCATTTTTATTTATCTGCTTTATCGTTTCTTCGTGTCTCTCTCTTTCTACTGAAGACACTGGATGACAAAAAGCTCAACTCCGGTGCTCTTCACTGACCCCTCCGTTTCTCTTTTCTCTTTAAAATCCATTTTAACTGTCCACAATCGCGTTTTTGTTTAGTTTAAAGCAACTAAGCCGAGAAGCTAAGCTACAAGCTAAGCTAACAGGTCGACATCAGGAAAAAAACTCCATATTATTGTTTATTGCAATCATTTCTGAGACAATTAATCGCCCAGCACAATTTGTTATCGTGACAGGCCTAGGCACACACTTCATCTGCTCTCTGATTCCATGGGAATTTAAGGGTTCTTTCACACTGGAGGCAGCGAGCGTGCGTATGCGTTGCAGTAGGCCACGCAGCTTGGCAGAACTGTCCAAATTTGCAGAAACAAAACTTGCTGAGAAATGAGAAACTAGCTCAATTCCAGCTGCAGCTTGAATGCAGAATGTGTCAACCTGTCGGTTAAGACCAGTTTTACTTTTACTGCTGCTCCTCGTGTGCAGCTAAAGGTTCAACATGTCCTCAGAGTGTAAACAGACTTGTGTCTGAGCTGCACCTTCACGATGGACACGTCTGACTTTGCTTCAGACTGAGCAGGGAAATGTTTGACAGGATGTTGGTGTGCTGAGAAAATGAGCGAGTCAAACTGAGAACAGAACAAAACAAAAAAAACAACTTTAGGCTTTAAGGTGGGAACAAAACGAGACAAAGTGGGCAAGACAATAATGTGCACGGCCAAGAATGCAGCTACGCAAGCCGCGCACATCAAAACAGATGGAAATTTTCAAAAACTGCCCGATCAAAATGCAGCTATGTAGCTATTTGGTTACAAACACTCAGGATTCAGTCAAACTAACAAAAAATGTACAGATTTTATTCAAGTTTGGAGCCAACTCGTCTCCCAACAGTCCCAGTGAAATACCACCTTTAGAGTGGCAGCCTTACAGCAGTGTCGTGCACACATAGGTTCACTCTGCTCGGTGCGGTGCAGATCTGGTTTTCTAGAGCAGAATATAACGACACGAATGTTAAATTACCATACCATTTTATTCATAGTATAGTATAATTAATGAGACTGAGTGTTTTTCTGCTTTGTTTTCCAGAGAATTATAGGAGCGGTGTCGGTTTCACAGTGAAGCACTGCAGCTGTTGCCTTTATGATAATCTGACAGAAACCGATATGAAAATGTGACGTTCTGTTAGGTAAAGTGTTCATGATGAAGAAAACAGAGTGATAAATAATAACTAGAAAGTTCCTGGAGAAACTTTGATGGGGACTGCCACATTGCAGCCATTTTAAAATTTTGATACGACAGTACTGTGTTGGGGTTCGCTCTCAGCTACCACTATACCAAATTTCAGTGCAACATGGCCCCCCCCAAAAAAAAAAAATCAATGTCTTAGTCTTTTTTTTTCTTTTAAGCTATGATGGCCATCTTGGATTTTTGATTTCGATTCTGTATGCAATGAGGAACGTTCTCAACTATAACCTCACCAAATTTCAGCTTTGTGTGTATAAAATTAGCCAAGTTAATTCATTTAAATGTAGCTTTGGTGACCATCTTGGATTTTTTAAATTTGAATTCAGTATTTATTATGCATTGCTCCCAGCTCCCACCACACCAAATTTCAGCTTTGAAATAATGAAATTAGCTTTGGTGGCCATCTTGAATTTTTATATTTGAATTAGAATGTGTTGTGCATCGCTGTCAGGTACCATCACATCAAATTTCAGCTCAATGTCTTTTAAAATAGCTGAGCTATCGCAATTTTTCCCTTTTAGCTAAAGCGGCCATCTTGGATTTTTAATTTGCACTAGGAATGTATAACAACTCTCGCTCAGTTACTATCATACCAAATTTCAGCTCAATATCTCAAAGAACAGTTGACAGTTAATAGTCAATTTTGAGTTTTTTGTGATAGCTGTGGCAGCCATCTTGAACCAAAATGGCTCCAAAAGTTAGTGTTTTGTTTAGAGACCACTGTAGGTCATGTGACATTTAGAAGCTGTTGAGTTGTGTCAGGGTTTTCAATGAGAAAAATGGTGTCTGTTTGCAAATTACGTCACCGTGGTAACACGAAACACCAATAAAAGTAATGGCACACATCATGGTGCCGAGCCGGTCGACTGGATATAACACTTATGGGGGGTACACGTTGTGGTTCGGGCCACATTAAAGTTGAAGGAAGAGCAAGACCCTTGTCAGGTGGATAATAATAGATAGCTGCCTTCAGGCAGTTCCAAATAACTTCTGTTAGAATAATGCAAAAAAATGTAAACCTAAAAATCTTAAAAGAGCCTTTGGGTCATCAGGTCTTACTTTCTTGGCCCCTGGGGAGCAGGTGTCAGGCGGAGGGGTGCTGGTGATATTCAGAGGGCTTGAGCCACAGCTGGAGGGGGACGAGCCTCGAATCCTGAGAGAAAAAAAACAGACAGTTTCAGTGCTCATGAAATCCACCTCCTGTTGTCGTGAGCTGGCCTCCAGAACTGTGTGCAGGAACCAACATCATGTCTGTGATTAACCAAGAGGAGTCAGAACACATCACAAAACTGAGAGACTTCAGATCTACACAAACATCCCTGCCTTGAGTCCAGCACAGCTAAATTTATTCACCAACACAAGAAGATTTAATGCTGCAACCAGTCCTTGGCCATTATCATCTAGTCCACATGTGTCGAGGCCCAGGGGCCAAATGTGGCCCTCGTTGACATCTTATCTGGCCCCCAAGATGATCGGTGTGGGTCAGTCACGGCGTGGATCTGTCACGGTGTGGATCTGTCATAGCGTGGATCATTCACAGCGTGGATCAGTCACGGCGTGGATCAGTCACGGCGTGGATCAGTCACGGCGTGGATCAGTCACGGCGTGGATCAGTCACGGCGTGGATCCGTCACGGCGTGGATCCGTCACAGCGTGGATCAAGCGTTGATCAGTCACGGCATGGATCAGTCACGGTGTGGATCAGTCACGGCGTGGATCAGTCACAGCGTGGATCAAGTGTTGATCAGTCACGGCATGGATCAGTCATGGTGTGGATCAGTCACGGCGTGGATCAGTCACAGTGTGGATCAGTTACAGTGTGGATCAGTCACAGTGTGGATCAGTCACAGTGTGGATCAGTCACAGTGTGGATCAGCCAGTGAGCCCACAGTGTGAACTGATTGTGATATTTCATGCAGTACCATATGTGGTGATATTCTATTTTACTCTCATGTTTCTACAAATGATGAGAAATAACTCAGGATGGAACATGTGAATTGTTTTGTAAAAGGTCAAATCCTGCACACAGTTCATCAGAGATGCTTCTAGGTTGCCAGGAGGCCCCTGATGACTGATAAATTACTCCTCTCTGTTATGTTCAGGGTTTTAATACAAAGTGGGTCACAGTGATTTTTCAGCCTGAGCTCATTTTCACCTCTGAATCTCCATCACTTCCTCTGCTATCATGCGGCCGATCTTCCCAGCTCCTGCTCTTGTGCCACCAGGGATGCCAGGCACGGTCTGCAGCGCCCGTCTCCCCCCACCTGTCAATCAACAGAAACACTTTATGAAGTGGGACGACATGTGAACTCAAAACAGACGTGGGTTTCGGTTTATTTTTGATACTTTTAGGCAGTGGATGAAAGAGAAGAAGCATGTTACCCTCTGAGGTCAGAACACTGTCCATACTCTGTGGTGATACAGCAGACTGGGGATAATCTGATCCTTCCATAATAGGACACCTGGAGAGAACACCACACATGAAAAACTTAATCTTCCAGAAGCACAAGCATTAAAAAAAAAACACAATGAGTGTCTGGATACTCACGATACAACAGTGTTAGTAGAGACGATGTACTCCACCTCCTTGGTCCAAGGGTTCATAAAGCTGAACCATCTGCTCCTCAACGTAATGAAAGAACCGTCTTTGATTTTGAATTTGTAACAGTTGGTGTTGATCTTTTCTCTCATCTGCAGCACTGTGAATATTGGAAGTGCCAACTGAGTGCAACAGCACAAACACAATGTTTGCATTAATGGCCTGGACTGTCAGAAAATATACCTTGTCTGTGACACTCTGCCAGGTGGCTGATGTCGTCCTGGTGGAAATACTCGTAAAAGGAGGTTCCCAGCAGTTCTTGGGGCAGGTACGCTAGGATAGCCGTAGCTCTGGGAAAAAAAACAAAACACAGAGGATGTTTTCACTTCCTGTTGATGGTGGTTGTCTCCTCAGGAGATATCCCCACTCTACAAGTCGAGGAAACATTGAAGAAAGTGGAAGATAGCTTTAACATGATGCCACAGAATCTTATGTCATTCCTCAGCATTTTTGACTCATTTCCTATCTCACAACGGGCAATTATATAATCCAGTACAGTCCAAGATCAGAAAGTTGGTGACTTAAACCAGCAAACCTCAATGACATCTCAGTTATTTGGGTTATCAGACCCCCGGTGGGATGAAAAGCAATACCATCAAAGCAACACACATTCTGGTGTTGACCCTGAGCTGCAGTCAAACAGAACCTGCTGTCAGGTTCTCTTTTCTTGCTGTTGATTCAGAAGCCTGATGATGTTGGATTGGATGATGCACTCCTAATCCACCTTAAATCTAAAAAATATTTTCCTCTAACCTTTTTCCCCTTTCCTAACCAGCTGGCCCATTGTTCCAGGCCACTGAAAGACCAATTTAAACAGCTTCTTAAAAAAAAAAAAAAAAAAAAAAAGTCCAGGACAGAAATAGTGAAAAAAATTGTAGTGACATCTAGTGGCAAAACCTGCAAATTACAACCAATTACACATTGTCTTCTACACCAATTCCCTTTAAAAATTTACACTGGCTGACCTCTTTTTAAAGCCTTTAATTCCTTACAACTTATAAAAACATTTAAGCTTAAACTATCCCAGTACATCAACACCAGTCCATCTGCAACATGTTGAATTTGACCTTTCAAAGAAACTAAAGTGACTCGTTTAGTTTAATCCTCCTGATTCTTACCTCTGGTCTACGAAGACAAACTTCCCGTCGATGGCGTGCCGGGAGACGTATTCTGTGGGCTTCACTCTGATGTCCGCCAGACTGGGCTGCGGGACGATGTGGGGGTGCAGGCGGCCGATGGCTACCAGGCAGCTTAGGTTGCAGCCCTCGTTGTCTGGCTCGTTGTCTTCGTCAAGCCCCATCTTTGTGGGCGGCCAGCTCTTTAGGTAGCCCGTACTGTGGATGGTGCAAAAGCTCTTACGGTCAGCTGGAACGACATCAAGAAGATGGGAGACAGACAAGAGGTTAAGTTGAAAACGTTAGAACAGGGGGGTGATGGGAGAATTTTACAGCTCAGTGAAATAAAAACAACGGGTTTGACATATGATCATAAACTGCATCTGATCCGTTGTATCATTATGTTGATTTAAAGGTCGTATTTTGATTTTAGGAGGACTCTACCACCTATCCAAAGTGAAATATATATGTTTTAGTTAACTTTGGAACATGTATCTTATTTGAATGAATGTATATCCTCCTTGTTGAACAAAACAACTATCTAAACTGAACTGATAAACTAAAAGGTCAACAAACATTTCAAATGTGACCAAACAGGATTACTCGTGTCACATGATTCATTTGTTTTTAGATCTTTACAACAGACAGATCTTGTATTGAAAACGCACAACACTCCTTGAAAATAGGTTTGTTTTCTGTTTAGGCTGATCTGAAAGCAAGGAAGAATGTTGTCAAAGTGACACACTGCCAATCAAAGTATTTAAATACCTGTAGTTGGAAAACTTATCAGGATTGTGAACAAAGAATAAAAAAAATGAAATCCTCTCGTTGCCATGAAAACCATTTTTTTCTACTCAGAGTTCTACAAATGTGTCAAAGATAAATTAAATGATTTCCTAATTGATGGTGACCTAAATTAATAATAGTGTGAATGCTTATTAAGCATTTTATTGTTATTTATTGAACATTTTAAAAATATTTTGCCTTTTATACCACCATTTGTCTCATAGAAAATGAACTGAGCTCATTTTACATCCTTCAAATCTTTAGATCTGTTTACATTTTACTGCTCCTTTCACATTTTGTTCTCGTTCAGCTTCTTTCAGCTTCCTTGTGCAAATTTTACTTTTTTCAGCTACTTTCAGCTGTTTTTTCCCCCGTTTTGTGCTCTTCAGATTCTTTATGCTAACTACAACATGTTTGTGCTTCTTCTAACTCCTTTCTGCTAATTTCAGCTCGTTATGCTCCTTACAGCTTATTCCTGCAAGTTTCAGCTTTTTTTGCTATTTCAGCTACTATTTAGCGGTTTTATGCAAATTTTAGCATTTTCAGCTAATGCCACATTTTTTGCACTCTTTTCAGCTTTTTTTCAGCCTAATTCAGTAAAAATATGCTTTTTCCATTTCATTCTGTTAATTTAAGCTTCTTTCTGCTATTTTAGCTATTGTTCAGCTGTTTGTTTAGGTTTTTTTTTTTTGTGCTCATTTCTGCTTCTTTCATCCAGAAATTTTGCTCTCTCCTATTCTTTTGGTGATTTAAGCTTTTTCTGCCTTTTTAGCTACTATTCAGCTGGGGTTTTTAATTGCACATTTCTGGGTTTTTTTCCAGATAATTTCCACTTTTTTGTGCTCATTTCAGTTTATTTTATCATAAATGGGCAAAATGTGTTCTTTCTGCTTTCTTCTGCTACTTTAAACTTGTTCTAACTTTTCAGCTACTTTTGTTTAGCATTGTTTTAGTTAATTTCAGCTGTTTTCAGAAATTCTTCAGCAATAAGCATTCACAAAGCATTTTCGCAAGAAATGCAAATTCTCTAGTTTTAATTGTTTTACTCAGGATTATTTTTATTTTAGACAGGGTGATTTACAAGAATAAAGATGTATTGAACAAATATATTTAAAGAGCCAAGTGTCCTTTTAGTTAAAAAATTTTTTTTTTTTGTCAAGAGTTGTAATTCCTTTATCCAACAGAGCTCCAACTAAAAATAGAAAGCAGGAAACCCAACACTGAAACACTCACAGCACATTTTATGAGAAAGGTGAAACTTTAAGGATGAGAAGAGTTTTGTTTAAAATCAGACTCTAAATGTTGTACCTTTTTTCTTAGAACAGGTCGAGGGGAAATCTTTATCTTCTACTTTGACAGAAGGTCTGTTGCACTTCATTCTGCAGAAAAATGACCGTCTGGCTCCGGAACAGAGTCGAGATGGACCCGGAGTGATGTCCGTCTTCACAGGAAGACCAGCTGAAAATAAAGATTCTTCAAGTTAGAACAGCTTTCAAAACAGCTAACAGCCTTCAGCATGAAAAAACAAGTGTTTTTACCTCCGAGTCATAAAACATTAAGTGAAGAATCATAGGATAATGTCCAGAAATTGAAAAATAATATAAATATGGCTGCAAATAGCATATTTTGAAGGGATAAAAATATTACAGCAGTAGTTGAGGCTGTTTGTGCTGTCATTACACCCTGATTTACAGACTTACTAGAAATGTTTCTACACTTTACGTCTCACGGTTCGCGAGTCAGAAGCTTAAAGGTTTGGGAACGAAGTATTATGGTAAAAAAAACGTACAATAATTAATAGGTAATAAATCATTTTATTTTCAATCTGCTGTATTGAGAGTTCTTAATTAATTAAAATGAGAGGGAGGCCCCTTGACGTGACATGGGCTGTCTCTCTTTCCTTTTTTTTGGGGGGGTGGGGTGGGGGTTCTCAAAATGGCAGATGCTCAGTGTGGTTTGAGCTCTTTAGCATAACATTTTTCACACAAAGCTTTTAATAATTAAAAAAAAAAAACATCAGTAAACAAGTTCTCAGCTTCTTTTTGCGGAGAAAAACACGTTTTTACACGAAGGCACGGGTTTCAACCATGAATTTTGGAGCTTCGACAAGACGGAGCTTTAAAATTCCAAAAAGTGCTTTAATAATATATCTACGTCTTCGAATAAAACAAATCCACAATGTTGTTTACAGATTGCTGTTGTGTTGTTTGTCTGTTGAACATTTTTAAAGCTTGACCGCTTCAGTCATTTTTTGGTATTGCCAGGAAGATCGACAGATTAAGACGTAAACCGTCAGGGGACGGAAAAAAGGAGGGGGAGTTAACCAGACTGCTGGTTCCACAAATGATACGTGTCTGTCCTTGCTTACTTTTAGCGTCAATGAGTCTCTCTCGTGGGGCTGTATCTGAGGAGGACAGCTGCTCTTTGACTTTAGCGATGTCCTTGGGGTGAAGGTAGTCGAACAGACTCTGACCTATCAGGTCATTCTTAAGAAAACATGATAACAGGAGAAAAAAATAAAAAATACAGATTCATTACACAGGAATAATTTAGTTTGACAAACAAATTGTAGCCATATTTTCTTCTGTTTGCCTGAAAAGCAGCAAAATACTATAAATCTATAATCTGAAACTAAACTAGGTAGAAAAACAGAAATTACAAACAGATGTAATGATTCAGTCTTTAAACTAGATATTAAACCATGACAGACAGTTGCCATCTTTAGATTTGTGGAAAAATTTTATCTTCTTTTAGGAAACAAAGTACAGACTTCCTCGCTTGATCTGCTTCACACCGACAATGATAAAAGTTGGTTTTATTAAACTTTAAAACGTGTTTATCTTTTTTTTTAAACTTCCCTCAAGTAACGTCGAACTATAATGAACTAAATATGTTGTGAATCCCTGCTTCTCTGCCTTCTGAGTCCACATTTACAATTCACACTAATGTTCTCTTGTTTTTATTTTTTGTAAATTTTTTACAAGTTAGCTGCTTCTGCACACTTTGTGCTACTTTAGCTACATCGAACTGTTCAGGAGCTGGGTGCCATGGCTTTTGATTTATGTAACGTTTATGCTTTTCAAAATATTTTACTTTATTTACAAAAAAATTCCTGTTGAAATAAACAGATTTTTTTTTCCAGTTTCTTCAAACCCATTGTCCTATTTTAAACCGACTTCATCATGTTTGCTCTATTCTTTTCATGCTACTTTTAGCTTCTGTTTTTAATTTTAGCCTTTAGCTACCATTCTGCTATTGAGATTTATGCTAGCCTTTTGATGTGTTAAGCTTTCAGCTACTTTTTGCTATTTTATCTACCACTATTACATTTAAGCTGCTGATTTGCTACTTTTAGCTAGTGTTTTGCTACTTTAAGCTTTTTCGCTGGCGTTTAGTTACATTATCTGGTCTCTTGATACTTTTAGCTGCTAGATAACCTTCGGATACTTTTAGCTGCTAGATAACCTTCGGATACCTTTAGCTAGTGCTCTGCTTCTTTAAGCTTTAACTTAATTTCAGCTTCTTCAGCAAGTTTCAGCAGTCATTCAGCCCTGAACACTACATTTTATTTAAAAAAATCAGATTAGCTTCTCCAATTTCTTCAGTTATAAACCAATTATTCCAAAACTAAATGAACCAATTCACCACATAAATAGTTTTTTTTAAAGCTACAATCACATTATGCATTAATCTAAAATAACGAGTGGCTCTAAAATATTAACACAAATAACTGTTCATTCTTTTTCCAATCACTTCCTCAGCATACCTGGCTGTAGTTGAGAATCTTGTACACAGATTCAGAAACGAAAAGAATTTTGCCTCGATCGCACCCGACCACAAACAGGAATCCATCAGCAGCCTGCGTTAATACATAAACACACAACAAACACAAATAAATAAACAGCCATGATGTAAAATTATATTCATACAGACAAAAAGCTTTCACACCTCATGCACCCTCTTTAATACCCTAAAAAAAAAATCACAATACAAACATTTGTGCTATTAAAAACTGATAAAATATTTGATGAACATATGTGTACTCACCCTGAGTATCAAATGCTTTAGTTCATCATCTGAGAGGAAGGAAGGTTTGTAGTTTGCTTCTGTGTACGGGTTGGCTGCACCTGTGCACGACAGAAAACACAACATTGCAGGGGATCCAGACTACACATGCACATGCTCACACACACAAACCTTTCAGTATAGATCTCTATACAGCCCATGATTCATTTACACTTTAAAAACACCTCCATACAAGGTCAGCAGCAGGACTGTTGTTACCATAGACTCAGTTTGCTCAGCTGCTGAAATCTGCAGCTTTCATAATCAATTCGCCATCCTTAAATCTTTGCAACGAGCTCTTCTATATGGCCGTCACATTCTCAGCTGCTCAGAAACGTTGCTTTGACAAATCAGACATAAAAAAAAATAAAAAAAACAGACGACGAGGAAGTAACGTTTCAAAACATGAAAATGCATTTTTGTGCAGCTTTTCTGTTAAATGTGGAAAAATAAATGCATAAATGAATAAATAAATAAAACACTGCTCTTTTCGGAATCGGACCACTAAAAAAAAAAAAGTCCTTTCACAGCTTGGTTGTGCTATTTTATTAGAGGGGGATGTAACGATAGAAAACTGATGAGTATTAAACATCTTACCTAAAAATGATGCAGAAAAACTGGTTCATGCATTTGTCATGTCTAGACTGAACTATTGCAATGGTTTGTTATCTGGGTGTCCAAATACTTCTTTAAAAAGTCTTCAGTTGATCCAAAATGTTGCTGCCAGAGTCTTAACTGGAGTTTGTAGGAGAGACCATATTTCTCCAGTTTTAGCTTCTCTCCAATGGCTCCCTGTCAAATCCAGAACTGAATTCAAAATCTTACTTCTAACCTAAAAAAACCCTTAACGACCTAGCTCCATCTTATATTCGAGATCTTATTGTTCCATATTTTCCCAACAGAGCACTTCACTGTCAGACTGCAGGTTTACTTGCAGTTCCTAGAGTTTCCAAGAGCAGAATGGGAGGAAGACCTTTCAGTTATCAGGCTCCTCTCTTGTGGAACCAACTTCCAGTTTCTGTCAATGAGGCTGACACATTGAATATAAAAGATATTTTCCTTTTTGAGAAGCTGAATTATAAAATATAAGCTCCTTCTAACCTCTGAGCGTCTTCATGTGCTGGACGGCCATTCGCAGGACTGTCAGCTTATCCAGCTTACGGGACATGGCGTTACAGGTGGGCACCAACGACGCCAGCTCGTCGATGAAGCTGTTCATCTTGTCCCTGCGACGCTTCTCGATCTGGCTGTGAGCCTCTCTATAGAAACGTAAAGCAGTGAACGTCTAAGGGAATGAACTTATGCTCACTTTTTTTTTTTTTAACTCCTTGAATTTTTCAAACTTTCTTTCCGTCTCCAGTCAGACCAAGTCGAGAAGAATTCAAAAGTATTGAGATTTTTAAAAAAGTTTCTTACCTGGCGTTTTTTCTGCCCTGTTGGTCACTGAAAGCAAAAATAAACATTAAAATTGATGATTGAATAAAAAAAAAAATAATTGACACACTTTAAAGTGGAAGAAATGGGGCTAAAACTAATTTAACATGTTCTGCAATCTTAGCAATGACTTCAATACAAGTGTTTATTTATTTGCTGAAAGAGATTTAGGCCTGGGCTAATTGTTGGGTTCAAGGTATATCACGGTGTTGAAAAGTCACTAAAAGGTTTTTCATCACACCATTCTTATGGTTTATAAGTGTTTTAATAAGAATGACAAAAAAGCTCCTTTACATAGACCTTTCATCAGCATCAGAAATGGACTAAACCAGACCGCTCCATTTTGCTGCTCACTGTTACAGAACCAAGAAGGAATGTGTCAGTTTTTGCTTTGTTTTGATTTTTCCACCCTTCGGTCACATAAAGTGCCAAGTAGCCTTCCCAATCTCCTAACTGTTGCTCAAGGAAGGAGTTCTGCTCAACTTTTATGTTCATTAAAAAATATATAAATTAAAAAAAGTCGTCAACCATTGTTTATACAGTTTATCCAGCAGATAACCCAGTCGGTCATGGCTAGAGGAACAACACCCATCTCTCTTTTCAAGATAACACCGTTTTAAAACAAATGTTTGCAACAAGCTACGAGCGTTAGCATGGTAGCAGCTGAAATATACAACCAGCTGCAGGCTCACTGTGGAGGCTAATAAATGAGGCTAATTCATTCCTAATATTAGAATGTCATGCTCTCAGTGTAAAGAGAATTATTTCAAAAGTTTGCACTTTAAAAGGACATAAAACAAAGGACATAAATCTGATTCAAGCTATAACATTAGGAGTTCAGCAATGACAAAAAGACTTACCTGCTCAGTTTATCTTTATCTGAATCCATGTCACTAAGATGGTGAGGAAGAAAAAAAAAAGGCGTTAATTCAACGAGAACATTATAACACACTGAAACAACAGAGTTCACTGGATTTGTGGGAGTGTGTGTGTGGGGAGGGGTTCTTATCAGTCTTTTTAATATTTCATGGTGCAAAATCAAGTCTGGGTTCTTGCTGTTTCAGATTGATTAAAGTCGCTGAATCTATAAACAGGGAGTCGTGTTTGAACTTACTCAAATGAGAAGCCATCGATTCTGAAAAGAAACACACATTTATTAATTAATTTGTCATTGGGATAAGAACATTTTTGATTAATTACAATGTGTAAGACGTGAAGCGACACTGGCACTCAGTGTTTAGCGTCGTCATTAAATAAGGCACATATCTAATAAATCCTGCGGCTTGCCGAATAGGAAGGTGGAATTTAAAGCTCCACATGGAGGTTGATGCTACAGAAATGTTGATGGTGGTTTTGTTTTATTGTAGTATTTTGCCATTTTTAGGCCTGTCACGGTAAGAAATTTTGCTGGGCGATTAATAGTCTCAGAAATTATTGTGATAAACAATAATATTGTTTGAAATTTGCCAATAGTTAGTAATTACTGTCAAATTTAAGCAGAAATGTTGCTTCATTTGTTTTGTGTGTAGTACCTTTTCTCAACCAACAATGGTCGTATAAGACTGTTTGAACAGAAGGATGGATAGTGAGGGAGCGAGCAGCGTGTCTCTAAGAAAAATGGGAGGGAGGCTCCTTGAAGTGACATGGGCCAACTCTCCTTCCTTTTTTTTTTTTGGTTCTCAAAATGGCGGACGATCAGTGTGGTTTGAGCTCTTGCATAGCATTTTTCACAAAAGCTTTTATTAAAAAAGTCAGTAAACATGTTCTCAGCTTCTTTTTGCAGAGAAAAACAACTTTTTACACCAAGGCACGGGTTTCAACCGTGAATTTTGGAGCCTCAACAAGACGGAGGTTTTTCCCCCCGAGGTCGGCCTGTTAGCTTAGCTCGTAGCTTAGCTTCTCAGCTTAGCTGCTTTTAACGATACCAAAAACATGATTTTGAACGGTTATAATGGATTTTAAAGAGAAAGGGAGGGGTCAGTGAAGAGCACCGGAGTTGAGCCTTTTGTCATCCAGTGTCTTCAGTAGAAAGAGAGACGCGAAGAAACGATAAAGCCGATAAATGAAAAAGAGGTCGATAATTTTCACTTATCACGCGATTATTTGATTTATTGTTTATTGTGACAGGCCTAGTCATTTTGGTTTTAATCTTTTAATTTGTGCCATGTAGTCACTTTCCCTCTTTATGTTTCAGTGGAAACAACATAATGAGAGACTGGTTGAGGATGCGTGTACAAAAAATGATGCTATGAAGGATAATGTTTCTATGTTTTGATGTGCACGTACGAGCTACAAAAATCATTTAGCTTTTTGTTGGTTTCCTTACTGGTAGTCTGTGCTGCTGCCCTTCCTCTTGCGGGTGTAGTCCATGCCAGCCGTGCTGATAGAGCTGGAGATGAGTTCAGTGGAGCTGGGGGATATGAATTCAGTCATTGTAGACGAGATGTCCATCCGTTGGTCTGCCATCAGGTCATCTGCAAAAATGTTTGATGGTTTTGTAAACAACTGCAGCCTTTCTATTTACAAAAAAAAAAAAAAAAAAAAAAAAAAAAAAAAAAAGGAAAAAAAAAATTTAAAAAAAAAATAATCATTTATTTATAAAAAAAAAAAAAAAAAAAAAAAAAAAAACACACATCGGAAGCAAAAGATTAAGATGACGACTTCTTAACCATTTGTAAACTTCCTAAGAAACCAATAATTAAAAAAAAACATGTTCTTATTATTGCATAAATATTTTATCCACAGAATAAAGCAATCAGATGAAAGAACTGATATTGAAGGGGCATTATATAAATAATTTAAAAAAGGGACATTCTGTGGAGATACGAGTGAAACACATCTTCAAAATGTTAAAGATTTTAAAATAATATAACTACTTAAAGCCACAGCTTTAGAAAAACCACACTCACCACAGATGTTCATCACAGCCTGTGTGTTAAAATCATCTCCTTCCATCCACCCTTGAGCCCTCAACTGCCGACACACAAAATCATTGTTAGACATGACATATGTAAAAAATTAACAGTCTGTTAAAGGCTTGGCAATAAGCTAAATAGAAAAAGGTCACAAGTGCATTAATGTTGCTCACACCTTGAGTCAGACACACCAGAGACTGAGCTTATGGGCAGAACACCAAGAGAATACAGCCATCAGTGTTTCTGTTCTCCAAAACCATGTCATCAACACCAAGTTTTACTAGAAAGCACTGTGAATGTGCTAGAGGTGAAAAAGGAGCAGCTGCAAAAATTAATTAAACATATTTCAGCTTTAAAATGGTCATCATCACCCCTCCACAGTGCTTGACTGTTGGGATGAGGTGTTTATGTTGATATGCTGCGTTTGGTTTTCTCTAAATGTGCTGCTGTGACACATTTATGGTCAAATATTTCTACTTTAGCATCATATGTCCACTGCTATTTGAGCTCTTGGGGCAACAGCAAATTATTTGAGTTTTAAAACAAGATGGGGCCAATCCTACCCAGTATCGGGTTTCCATACCAGCATAATTCACGAATCGGAAATTTCTGATCCAACCTGCAGAGATTGCTGATCTATGAGTCATGCCTGTGCTTTAATGTTGTCCGCTGAAATGACGCCACAAGTGATTCCCTGCCCACTGATCTGCTAGCTGGCTGCAAATTGTGGAATGGATTTCTGGAACGGAGGCGTATAAAAATAAAAATAAAATAAAATCTCATGAGATGTGGCTCACCAACTTTTCATCACAAAATGTTCGCTGTGTGGAAACATTTTACAGTAGAAACGCCACAAAGCAAGACAGCAACGTGCAATGTTTGCAGAACTGTTATACCGAGAGGCGGAAGCTCCATCACGACTTAAAATATAACAAATTTAATCAAACAGTTTAAAATGCACCACGTTAAATGGCATGGGGATTTTTTAGCCAGGGGGCAGAAAGACGAAGGCAGCGGACAGGAATCACTTCTGGACTCATTCCAAAAACAAAGTCAACTTCCACCTGACAATGTAAAAGCTAAAGGGATTACCGAAAAGTTGCTCAACTTCATTGTACTCAGGACCAACCGTTATCAGTTGTAGAAAACGAAGGATTTCGCATTCGATTAATTTGTGTTAATCAGATGAAGCAGCCCTTTGTGTTTTATTTGGAGGGAGGTTGAGTTAGCAAACGTCACTCTTTATCAGTCTTGGGTTTAATACATACTGACAGTCAATTTGAAGCACATTTGTTTATTTGTTATCAGGATGGTATTTTTCCTGTTTCTGTTTAATTCCTACACTTGATAATTATTGTTATTTCTTAATGAAGATGTTGGAGCTGTTTAGGTTTTTCCACACATTTCTTCAGCATTTGACTTAACTGTTGTTAAATGCTTAATACAATTATGCAAGACGTCATACTTTTTTCATTTTATTTTTATCTCCTGATCATCTCCTACCAAGATCCGTAGTCGGGTCGTAGAGCTTTTGCATTTGAGGTTGCAATAATCTAATAAAAAAATTTGGTAGAGACCAAATTATTTGTGTATTTTGTCCTAGATAAGAACATTAAAAACCTACAACTGCAAGAAGCTGCACTTCCCTTTTAAAATAAATGTAGGTCATCATGCCACATCGCTTCCACGCTGACATCCAAGTGGCTGAGATTAGTTCAACACCCTAATTTGAATATACGACTTTTTAAATAAATGTGAGTCTCAGATAATGAAACTACTCAGGCCAATGCAAGCCTGTTTAATGTCTACTGCTTCACCTACGATGGAGCAGGGTTATTATTAAATACTTTTTTAAAAAAACAAATAAAAAAACAGGTTCTGTGGTTGTTGAACTCATGAACAAACCCAAAGTCGACATGACTCACATTCTGGGCAATGGTTTTGCATTAATATACTTATGAATAGGTGGCAGTGACACGTTAAGGAACACAAGAAAAAAAATCAGTTAAGAAAAAAAGCACAAAGTCGTAGACATAAAAAAAAGACATGTTTCAAGCTTTAAATGCTAGTGAACTTTAAAAAAAAAAATCATAATGTTTAAGAGAACCAAGTGATTTTTCTCTTGCATTAGTGTCATTGCTACTTTACCATAAAAACCAAAATCCATTCAACCTGAAATGCACGTCATTTGTTAGCTGCCCTGCTAAAGATTCATGAGTAAAGAACATAAAGCTTCCAACTTGTCAAGTGTTGCCAAATGCCATAAAGTTTTCTTACTTAAAACACAGAGAAGATAGAGGAAGAGATGCATAACAGGAACTCTAGAGGATATTTAAATCATAATTCCTTCCTTCTGTGCAGTACATTTCAACTTGTTTTTCTTTTCTTTTATAGCTCAGCTAGGTGAAAAAGTAAAATTACAAGCAAGTTATTAAGTTTTGGACAACACTGAAAGTCAATCAACTAAGCAGAACATACACTCACTGGTACGGGGTCCACCTGTTCCATTGCTCGTTAACACATACAGCTAATTAGCCAATCACGTGGCAGCAGCTCAGTGAATTACACATCTAGCTGAGAGACGACTTGCTGAACGTCATATGAGCATGCAAACAGGAAAGAAAGGGAATTTAAGTGACTCTGAATGAGGTGTGGTTGTTGGTGCCAGCCTGTCTGGTCTGAGTTTTTCAGAAACTACTGATCGACTGTGATCTTCATTCAAAACAGAGAAGTGTGATAGTAGGTATTAGCTGCCATTTTTTAAGAAGAAAGGTTGGTTATTTTAGTTTGTTCACAGATCAGTTTATTGTAACAGTTTTGTTTTATGTGTGATTTTTCTGACTGTGTTTTCTTTTTGTTTATTCCTGTTTGTTTTTAACCACTTTAGTCATCTTGTTGCTTTTAAATGTGCTACATAAACAAAACTGACACTGGTCCCAGAATGAGAACACGTCCAAACGTAGCAGTTGTGGGGACAAAATTGTCTTTTCAACGTCAGAGAACAAAGAACAATGCACAGTCTGGTTTAAGACGAAAGAAAGGCAACCGTAACTCAAATAACCCCTCGTTCCAACTAAGGTCTGCAGAACCATCTCTGAGCACTCAACACAGCCAGCCTTGAAGCAGATGGGCTACAGAAGCAGAAGAAATCATCGGGCATCACTCCTGTCAGCTAAGAACAAAAAACTAGGGCTACAATTAACTCTGGCTCACTAAAATTGGATAAGAAATAAATGGAAAAACAGTTTCTGGTCTGATGAGTTCAGACTCTTTCACAATCACCAGATCTCAAACCCATCAAGAACCTTTGGTATGTGCTGGAAAGGGAGATTACCATCGTTGACGTGCAGCTGACAAATCGGCTAACTTATCAATATGGACCAACATCTCTGAGGAAATTTTCCAACTCCTTAAGTTTAGAAGTTAGCAAGTGTTTTTTTTTTTTTTTTGTCTTTTTAGTGCCACTTCTCAAATGACTCAAAATGATGGACAAGATCAATTGGGGTTAAACTTTCTAAAATGCAAGAGTGAAGCTCCAGTACATAAAAGAACAGAGCTGTTTCAGGTACCTGGATAAGAAACTGGAACAGGATCCCTGGACGTCCCTGGTATAGTGTGAATCAGTCTGGTCTGCTCCGTTCTCACTTCTGGTCTGAATCGGTTTCGATTCAGCCTGATTTGGTTTCATCCACTTTGATGTGGCCTGCCACAGTTTGAAGTGACCTTTATGAAGCTGCTGTGACCCTTCAGCTTCTGCTAAGAACAGAGAGAAACAGTCAGTCCAATGCAAATTTATTAAGTGTCCAAAATGTTCATCTAAACATGTGAATAAGACCACATACATACACACCGCCACACTGATAAATCCCACAATCACTTTCTATTTACATAATTTAGACACTTTTTTGTGGGCAATAATTTACTATTTTGACAGAAGACATAAAAATGCTCCAGTACGTCACAGGCACTGTCATTTTTACTAAACATATTTTGTTAATATGTTTATGTAAAAACACATTTAAAATATTTCTTACCAATTAAATGATAATACAAACAAACTTTGGCAGCATCAGATTCAGCATCTAAGTCTACTTAGAGTTTTGTTGCAAGTAATGTAAAAAAAAACTTTTTTTACAAGTGTGTATTTTAGACAGATAAGTTCTAAAACTGCTAAAAACTATCATAAACAGGTGGAGGATTATGAGGAGTAGTTTAATTTTATCCATAGGTCACATAAAAAAAAAAAAGTCAAAAATGGTAAAGGGTACCAAAAAGTACAGTAGTCAGTGTTTATATAAATGTAAAAAATGTATGAAAGTTCAGCCTTGAAGTTGTGTAAAGAATGTGGTCTCAGTCCATTTATAAAAATAAACCCAATATTTTTGATATGTAATAACTCATGAGATTAGATTGTCGTCATTGCTAAAGCTGAACTGTTGGCATCATTAGTCACCATTTTTAAATATTTACAAGCACATTTTGAGGTATTGTTATTGCACTTGTTCTCAGAGCAGATGGTCCTCAATCCCCAGTATTACAAACATGGCACAGACAAACGCAAGATCTTTTATAATCCTGTTCGGCTGGGACTTCTACAGCAACCTGAACCAGCTTATTTACAATAAGGAACTAAAGTCAAGCTAAAATGGTATGGTGAGGCAGCCCTTGGGGTGGCCAAAGATTAATCTTTGGTGATCAAGGCCACCATTGACCATCTACTCTCTCTCTGCCTACTCTCTCTGCCTATACTGTCAATATTGTGCCTGCATGGATAAAACTGCTTCCTCCACTCACCAGGATCCATCGCTGCAGTCACTGCGCTGCCTCGGACAAGCAAAAAGACCACAGTGCAAGTCTTAGCTGCTTGAATTTCTTGCACCAAAACATTAAGGTTTACTTGCCTTCCCTGTTAAATTCCAGTCCAGAAAAACACTCATGTCAAACTACAAACATTCACTGTTCAAATCCCTCAGCGACGGGAGACATTGGCGTGCTGCTTGTTTTAAGATGAAGTCTGCATATGTGTTGGAGGACTGAGCCAGGTCTGAGGGATTTGTAATAAGATGTAAAGAATAAATGAAAAAAAAAATAGACTATTTCATGAAAATTAGATGATGAAGTGTTACTAACTGACAAATAAGTACTTATGTGATGACGACGTCTCTGATTTATGATGAATGTCTCCCATAGGAGACAATTTAATATAACCCTCAACTATAATGTGTGCCCATAAAATGCTGCTGACGCAGGCATTACTGTGGACAGGATGAGGTTCATAAGCCGTTTTACTGGGACAAAGCTCTGGTCTGGAAGGGGAATACCACTATGCTGTGATCGAGCAGTGAAAGGAACTGGTGCTGGAGTGGAAACTGGGTCACTCAGCCTCTATGGTCTCAAACCAGCCAGCCTCAATTTTCATCCACCACCTACTTCTACCTCATCAGTGAGTCAGCAAGACATTCAGTTTAGTCTCCCTGTTCCACACTGCACCCACTCAGACATTCAGGAAGCAGTCAGCAAACCTGCTAATGAACTGAGGAAACATCTAGACAGTGGATAGGCTGTAAAACCTCAACACTTCCATATAAACCAGTGGTTTTCATTTCACCACAGTATTGGAAAAATGGAAAACCCCGCTTGTCTCATTCCCAATCAGATCAAGGATTTGTGGGATGCACCAGTACAGAAGCCTTATTTTTCAATCCCCTCGAGCAACATGACTTACAGTCGGCGTAATCCTAACCTGATACACTGCTGGTCAAGAAATAGCGAGTTTAATGGTATAACTCAAAGTTTTTAAGGTGCTGTTTTGTAAGTTATCAACAGTACCTTAGTGTGTGCAAGCAGCAGTCAGATCAAACTCAATTTAAAACAATAGAGATAAATAAATAAAAAATAAACAAACTAGTTAATTACTAGGCAGACTAGGGCTCATTCCAGAGCAGATAGATATACATGTAAAAAAAAAAAAAAAACCTCAAACCTCTGAATTTTCATAGCACTTATAATAAATGCTGTATTAAGGATTTTTGCATAGCAATGGGTACAGCTAGCATGTTTCTTCTGAAACACATGCTTCGCACAGAAGGTGTTGCAATACACAGCAGACCAAACTCCAACATAGCTTATGTGTAAATACTCAGACTTCTCTGTAAACAATCTGGTGAAAAAGTAGCATGTCTCAAAATTAACAGCAATGCATTTGCTTAAAATCACTCTGGACAGTTTTGAGATTTGAATTGTTTTGGGTAAAAAGGCCCCAGTTTTGACTAATTGTTAGCTTGTAGGAAAGACCATAACATTGTGATGCTTCTTTTTAAGAATGTCTAGCAAAGTATAAGTCTTTACAGAATCATATTGTGAAATTATCAATACCCAGGGTTATTTACACCACAGTACTTCCTCTACATAAAAAAAAGTACAAACCTTCATAAATTATTTAATGTCTGTATTAAACTTGAGCAAAGTGTTATGGTGAAATACCCAGTTTAATCTGACATTTGTTCAGTCATGTATCTATCCTTATCACATCTTGGGTCAGTGTGAACAGAATGAGTATAAATTCATTTTGATAAAAACGTCACTACTGTGTCTACATAAATTAAAGTAATTAGCCATGTGCTTGATTTGGTTTAGAATGGGCAGCTTTGTGGCGTCATCATCCTGGATATTTACGTGTGGTTGCAAAGTACAGTTAGTCCGGTGAAAGCTCTGTTTAATGATTGTTCAGTCATAAAAAAATGAACCAGATAATCTTGATGTGCAGTAATTGATTTGACTTGTGAAGTGCTTCTTGGAGAAAAAAACCTAAAACATTTGTTTGTTTGTGTGGAACAGATTCTGATGTTTTTTTTTGTTTTTTTTTTATCTTGGTTCCACTGGCAATTCAAACATCAGACTCAGCTTACCTGTGTAGTATATGTTAGTTATGTACAATATATATCATGCACATTTTAGCTTATATTACTACGGTGGTCGGTACCACTTGGGGAATGCTCATTGTTTTTTTAAGAAGGGCAGCCTCCATAGAGATGGAAAACACATGATAGCATGGCAGATTGGGTAGCCATACATGTTTTATCATCATATATGTGATAGTAAGAAAACTGTTAAATTGGCTACTTACTGGCAGTACCAGTAGTTGTGAATAGATAAGGGACTGAACCGTTGGCTATCCATTGGATGGAAGGCCAGCCAGCTCCAGAAGCAGATTTGCTGGCTTGAAACTGTTCAAGGAAATGAGAAAGGCTCAAATGTGTGTGTTTGGAGCCATCACTCAGACATGGAGTACTGTGAGACTGGAGGAGACATTGAAGATAAAAAGGACTACTAAACTGCAACATGTAACTTTTAAACTTGTGATCCATTTGTAAAAGGCATCATATTGTCTAAATGTTGATATCATTAGCTTAGAGATGCCACTTTATTGAAGAAAAGGTTCTTACAGTGACATTTTGATAGTTTTTATTGTATAACCAGAGAGATGCATGGTACTTTATATGCTGCACTTCATTAAGGTCAGTTATAATTGTTCAGAAAACAGTTTTAATATCTCTCTCTATTAGTAAGTGAAAGGACAATAAAGAACTTTGAACTGTACAGAATACCATGTATTAACGCTTTTGGAAGGGCAGTGTTTGTGCTAGTCACCATAAATCACACATTATTAGTCTAATGTGTTTTGAGTATGTCATAAAACAGCTTATTAATAATATATTTAACTGTGAAAAATAAATTTAGTCAGTATAAGAAAGTGTTCTGTGTTTTTGCCAACAAATCATCTTGATAAATACTTAAGTAGTATAATACCCAAGTCATATGATATATGCTGATATAGACATGTACCACTAGTAATCTGACTTATACTTCTTTCAATAACTTATCAAATAAAGTTTTGTGGTCAGTTGTACTTCCTCTTCAATTAAAATGTCTAAGGAATGTGTCACTGAGCTGATTTTCTGCAATAGTTTCAAATGAACCTCTATAAGCAGCTTCAACTTATTTTCATTATCAATCTTATTTCACATTGAGCACAGAGTTTGGCCCATGATTACTCTTTAGACACAAGTTCCTCACTTAATAAATATGACAGTGTCTATAACTTCAGAACTGCTTAGGTTCTGTGTCTACCTTCAGTCATACCTTAAACTAGCATTCAACGGGTAGACCTTTAACACATTTCTTCATTGTGGGAATATTATACGAAATAGCACAAAAACTAAAGGTGATTTTCATGTATAAAAATATATTTTGTAGCATAAATAATCTGATATGCTGGACAAATATTCTTGGATAGAGTTGTCCTTTCTTAATGTTAAGGCAGTTTCTCTGATACAAACCCTGACTAAAGTACATAATGAGACACATTCATGTAAATCAGACAATTACCAGTAGTTGTATCTTAAAAATGTCTAGCTCGTGTGAAAGAGAAGGCTCTCACATTGTAGAACTCCTTTCTTTTGGTCTTTATGATATTAAGCCCCTGGCAGCTAGTCAAAGACTGATCTCATGTAATATGTGTCGGTATTTTAGAAAGTGGCAAATCAGGTGTAGGTTAGAAACCATGTGCTTAAACAAGGAAGGATACAGTGCAACCACCGGTTTTCCATCTAGGGATGTACCCCTTGACAAAAAAAGGTACGAGCATTTGTCACCTCAGATGGTATTGGCCCAACAAATTTTGGGTCTGGGCTCATTGTCTATGGGCTTCATCAGTGTTACAGCTACTGTTTGTAAGAAATGCTGATGCAACTGCTGCCTCATTTGGTTTAGTCTTTAAGGAGCTCCTTATTTTCATTTCATGGCAAAAGCATTTAAACAAATGCATTAATGGGGCCTTTAAATAAGTCCTAATCATTTTTGTTCAATTAACAGAACTGTCTAACTACAAGTCTGCACATTTTTTTTTTTGTATTTTGACAAAGTCTTGTAATCCTGAGGTTGTGAGTTCGAGCCCATGTTGCATCAGGAAGGACATTCGGTATAAAACGATTGCCAAATCTTTCATGCGAGTTTGTCGCTGTGGCGACCCCTGAAGAAAGAAGCAGTCAAAGTATATACATTTTTAAATACACTGCCTGGCCCCCCCAAAAAAAGTTGCCTTGTTCCAGAGTGATGGGCACATCAGGGTAAGAAGAGAGGCAGGTGAAGTGAAACCAAAATATATCCTGCTTGTGACGGAGCTGCAGCTCTGGACACTCGGGCCACATGATGCCTCTGCTTTTAAATTTGTACATGCAAAACATGCTTTAGATACAAATTATGCTTTATGTTAATGCATTTAAAACTTCCTGTTGGGTTGAACTTGGCTGGATCTACATGGTAAATGGCAAATGGACTGTACTTATATAGCACCTTTCTATCTTATTGAGATTCTCAAAGTGCTTTACAACACAATCTGTGTCCTCCATTCATACATCACTCTACTAGATCTATACAAAGCTAATTGAACAAATCATTCTAAAGAGACTAATCAGAGCTTTATCACATTCATACACCGATGGGACACACCAGAGGCAATTAGGGGTTCAGCGTCTTGCCCAGGGACACTTCGGCATATGACTGCTGGTGGATTCGAACCCCCAACTCTTGCATTGGAGGACAACTGCTCTAACCACTCAGCCACAGCCGCCCCTACATGAGTTATGTTACTAAACTAAATGTACTAAGAATTAAACAGGAAGGGAAAATATGTTAGCTTATGTCAGGGTGAAACAAAGTGTCAGCATATATGCTGTGCAGAGCTTGAAAAAGTAGGAGACTTACATAAAGACTTGTTTTATAAAAGCAGAAGTTCAGTATATATGATCGCTTACGTTTGTGACTGTGGACTTCAGACACAAGAATTTTAAAGCTAAGAAAATGAAGAGACTATAACCACCAGAAACACAACGTTACAGTACATTCAGGCAAAGTTTTAGGAATTACCTGTCAAACTAGAGCAAAAAATAAATAAATAAAGATTTGAAACATTTAACAACAAATCAAACCTGTCACAAATTATAGATAATACAGCAGCAATTTCTTCTAACGTACATGAACCTTATCTCTTAGCGTGTACAAATATGCATATAGAGCAACAGGATGTGTTCGAGTTGTTCTGCAAAAGCATTTAGGTAAGAACTGAGGTTTTAAACAGCTCTTATCAAATACCACACATCAGGCCAATATCCTGACTTGTTGGACTTGGCAGAGCTCAGTTGCACTAGATTACTAGTGACAAAGTTAGTCAGTAACCACTTTCTAGGATAAACCTCTTTTTTGTTTTATTTAATCTTTATTTATACAGATAGTCTCAATGAGTCACAACGACTCATTTTCAAGAGAGACCTGTTCATATGCTCCTTTGACTGTGGTTTCTTGTTGTTCCTAAACTTAAAACAGCCATTTAAAACCACAGGACAGTGGATATGAGTACATACATTGTATCTCTTTGTTTTATTTTATTTGGCTAGTTAAACAGAAATGACAGGTAACTCGGGTATCTGAAAGTCCATCTTACTAAAACACTTTTAAGGCTACATGGTTAGTTTGACTTTTGGAAATGTGGCTAAATGAAACGAGAGATAAAACACTCCAGTCTGTGCAGAAATTATGAATCTATAGACAACAGAGAGCAAACTCAGCCTGCAGACAGAAAACAAAGGGAAATAACCCGCTTGTCTCTGGCACTGGGTAAAAACAACAACCCACAATAACAAAACTAATTCATTAGCAGTGAAAAACCAAACAAAACAAAAAAAACGTTTTTTGCATTTCTCATAACTTAAACCATGTAGGTGGTAGGGAAGTTTTAGTAAAACTTAGGTATCAGTGTCATGGAAATGTAAAGTGCAAAGCTGACTTTAATTGAAAATAAATTGTCATTTTTCTTAAGTGAATCGAAAACTAAATGCAGCTTTAATAGGTCAGCTTAAATTAGCTGAGTGAACTTGTTTTTAATTGTTCAAAATAATTTGACAATTTTTTTTTTTTTTTTTATTTGACCTCAAAATTCATAAAACTGGCTGAGTTGTGGCCATGTTTCGTGTTCGCTAAGGTCGCTTAGCTCCGGCAGTCACCTCGAAATGGATCGAATCCAAAAAAAAAGTATCAGTTGTAGAAGTTCGTCCAGTGATTACTTTCTGGGAATTTCATTCAAACCCGTCAAGTAGTTCATGAGATATTTGGATTAACGGTGCGAACAAAAAGCACTTACAGACATGGGCAAAACATTTTGGCTCCACTGTCGGATTTGGTGGCAGGCAATTAATGAGTAAACTTCACTTTGAATAGGTTCTGACCGTAGCTTATTAATTTAGCTCGCCCTTCGTTAATGTCTTTTTGCCAACAGTTTACAACTTCATGAAAGACAGACGACATCTAATTAACTAATTGGATCAGAAGCACCTTCGTGGTTGTGAAGAGGGGAATTCATAATGATAATCTCAGTGACTCAAGTCCATTTATGAGCTTGGATTGAAATACAAGCAATACAGACAGTGTGAAATGAGAATATAACAACTAAATTTCTCACTAAAGTCAATATCAACATTTTAATTAAAGAAAATATCTTTAGCTGCAACCGGCAGGTGTGACAGAGGAAGCAAAAGACATATTGACATCATTCAACAAGGACAGTCTAGTAAAAGAAATATTGATGACTATTCATTATAAAACACAAAGTCATCCATCAATAAGGCCATCAAAAAAGTGGGTACCGGTAACTCAAAGTATATTTATTGCTCTGGCCCAAACAAGCTGATTCTACTGAGCTTTTTGCATGACTCACCAAATTTCAAAAGTTGAGAAAACTCCCATACACATCAGACAAGCTAACCACATTATCCCCGACCGTTTCCTTCATGTTTACCCATCTCACCAACGTCTGGCCTACTTTTACTCACAACCACGTTGTTTTCTCTTATGCAAATCAAACATTATCTTCACAATCAACAGCTTTGCCATATCATCACTACAAAATTGCTGTTATCACAACATTATCAGCCAACACCGATGAGCACTTCTGTTTAATGCCGCACGTCTAGAAACTGAAAGAGCAACGCTGGTTTGAGTTTGAAGTTCACCACAGACATAGTTCCTGTCACGAACCGGTTAATTCATAAACTGCTGAAACAACCACAACAGAGGAAGACTGTTAAGATTAAAGCTAAATTAAGAATGAAAATATATATATTTAAAAAAACACATAAATGGGTGTGTTGATTCGACTGGTGAATGAATGTTGATTACTGGTACTACCGGTAGTAATTTAATTACTAGTAATTGGGGGGAGTGGTGGCACAGAAGCTAGAGAAGGTGGGCCTGTGATCTTAAGGTCACCGGTTCAATTCCCTGGACTGACGACATCAAAATGAGGGTGGAAAAGGTGAAACACACTCGCCTTCACCATCATCTGCCCCACTCTGGGCCCTTGAGCAAAGCCATTAACCCCCAAAAAGGTCTCTCTTGAAAATGAGTCCTCGTGACTCAATTATGTATAAATGCATGTTAAATAAATAATATATATAAAAAAAAAAGGTTACTATTATTATAAAAAAGCTTCTGACCACTGATCAAAAACATTTGCTAAACATTTCATGGCAACTTGTGAATTTTTTTCCCAATTTTTACCACTTTTACTGTGGCATATAACATTTTTTTTTAATTGTTCAGCAATTCTAAATTGTTTTATTATTATTATTATTATTATTATTAGTTACATAATCTTGGTATATTTTAAAAAGTTCTTCCAAAGCTCTTGCACCATGAACTTTCAAGTCAGTTGTGCCAAAATAAAAGTCTATTTAGGATTTATTGGGCTGATCCAGACTGGTATTGAAATAAAATCTTAATGAGACTTTTTAATGGGAAACCATTGAGGTCTTGGGGAATCCTTGCCAAATATTACATCACAAGATATTTGCATGTCTGCTGAGGGATAACCAAACAAAAGCATCATTTTGGAGCATCTTCAGACTGTGGAAACCGAGCTGTCACCACACGTTTCCATTCAGTTTCACGGTGTTTTACAACTAAAAACATGACCCTCGGCACCGCAAATGTCTCAAACATGAGGCAGAGGAGAGCCCAGAGGTTATCCCAGCTGGGTGGATGCTTTCGAAGAACCCGTGTTCCAGAAAGCCGAGGCCTGTTTATATCGCTAACCCGTTAGCACCGGACACTTATTAGGTCACGTATGATTAGAGGCTCACCCAGCCGCCGAGCCTGGTTCGAGTCCCGGTCATTCCTGCCAGAATGAAGGCGTTCCACCCACAACAAAAAATTTGCTAATGCTAGCATACAGTTGTTAGCTTACGGAACACGAAGTGTCAAGACTTGGCCACCGAGCTAACGTTGCTCCTTCTGCTCCACAGAACCCCACTGGCGTTGGTAAAATACCCACAATATTACCCATCATTTATGAAAACCCGGCGACCCCCCCACAGCTAGCTTCACCAAACCATAACCATAAGGTCGTTTTCGTGTTATACTTACAAAAAAACGCTAGGAAATCCGTCTATCCATTCAACGTCGCTGGTGATATGTAATAGCAACACACTGCGCGATGACATAAACGATTTTCAATCGGTGACCCAGTTTCTCGCCACCGTCAGGACGATCGGACCACTAACCTAGTTTTTCAACCAATGGCGTTTGCGCAACCGTCGTAGGTGTTCTACTAGCCAATCAAACGCAAGCTTGGGTGGGGAGAATATGATTGACGGGCAAATGGACCAATGACTAAGGGAGAAGAACGGAAGCAGAGGCCACTCGTGTGAGAGCGTGTTATGGAATACACAAACAGCAAATGAGCCATTTAGGAAGGGTTACAACACGAGCTGGCCCTGAGCCTAAACCCAATATTAATTTTAGACTTTAAATACATTCACTGTGACATACGTAAAATGTATTATTTATTACTTTATGTATACGGTAAAATACACATACTTGGTGATTTTTTTTTTTAGTACAGCAAACAAATTTAAAAGAACATTGTGTTCCTTTACCTGATTCTTCATTTTATTTTATTTATTTTATTTTAAATTATATTTTAAATGGCAGATAATGGTTTAATTAAAAACGTAAATAACACAAATATTTTTTCAATTTTTTTTATTTAGGTGTGAGACATCCAGAACTAAATAAAAATTGAGATGATCGTTGTATGTTTTACGTTTCACTTTGGCGCCCCCTACTGGTCAAAACTTTACACCTACTGTAAATTGTACACTCAATGAGTGATCAATGATTGATTTAAGAAAGAGAAAAAAACATTATATATTTACTTAATTGTAAGCTTTGAGCTAAATATATGGGTAGTATTCAGTTTATGTTTGGTTTAATTCAGTTTTTAGACATTTTTTTAGACAACTCTAAATAAATGTCTCACTGTATGCAGAACACTTAATAAAAATGTACCGTTATTTGAAAGAGGGCAGCTGTCTGCCGCCACCCACTTTACACACACACACACACATACACGCGCGCGCACACACACACACACCAAATATATTAAAGAGTAAAACATGCAGATTTGGCACTGAGTGACCAAATTCATGTATAATTACTTTTTTATGTTTTTGTTTTTTAAGGTTTATTCACTTGTCTTTTCAGTTCAATATGTGGCAAAGCAAAAAGCCCTATTTATCAAAACAAATAAGCCGATCTTGATTTTTACTCCTCACTGAATTTACATTTTGGTTTTGTCAATTCAAAAGTTTATGAACAAGCAAGTAAGTAAAATCAATGCACTTGAAATTTTGATGTTGGATTTTAAATAATAAATTATCAAGTTTGACAGACATGCCAATTAAAACTGTTCACCAGCTTATTTGATTTATTTCACTTTGAATTATATTTAAGTCGTAAAATAAATGGTTGCTTGTGAGTTAAAGTTGAACAACTCTGTAAGAATTGCAAATCATTTATTTTCCTTGAGTAAAAAAGAAGCTAATTTATTCTAATTTTGTTTTTGCCTGTTAACAACCAAAATCCATCCCAATAAACTTTACTTAAAAACATACAATATGATTAATTAAATAAATGAAAAATATAATTTGTTACTGCCCCTAAGTCTAAGACAATTTACTCAAAACATACAATGTTGTAAGTATAATAAAAATATATAAATTTTACCGTTACAAATAAGAGAGTGCTTTCTATAAAATTGAGAAATATATAAATCACTATAAAATGACACATTGTGGGTCATTTCAACTTAACTTTTATATATGTAGAACTTTTCAAGCAAAAATGAAAACTGAAATGAAATGAAACTTTAAGAGCTGAAAAATTCAATTTATGACATACTTGTATAAAAGCAAATGTGCAATGAATGAAGACACCTTTAAAATTATTTATTAATCCCACTGAGATCACAGATCTGTGCTTGAAGGCAGTCTAAACATGCATGTTTGGACTGAAATAGGATTTAATTAAGTCACAAAACAATTAGATACAAATGTTTCAAATAAGCCAAAGAGGGAAAGGTAAAATTGGACAAATTTAAAACAATAATAAAATAAATATAAATTATTACTGGTACACACAGGCAATTAAGGAACACATTAAATATTAGTTAGACTGTTTAGACGAAATAAGAGACTCAATGGGATTAACCTGTCTAAATAAAGGTTTAATGAAAAGTAATAAAAGCAGGGGACTGCAACAAATGATTGCAGTTATTTATTTCAACCACTAGATGTCAGTGTCAGTTTAACTTAAAATGAAAGGAACTAAATCTTGCATGAATTTTGATTTTATGTGGTTTCACGTTGTTGTTAAAAAGTCACTTTTCCGCGAGATCCAGCAGCGATATGAGAGGATGTGGACTTAGATATCTTGCAATTTAATTCGTTCAATCAAATTTGGATCATCTCCTTCTTGTATTTTGATTCATTTAGGCACAATCTAAGGAGTTGAACAAAGATATGTTCAGGACCCGCTTCCGTTTCGGACATTATCAAATTCAAATAAAATGAGCAATCAAAAAGACAATAATTAACTGTAATGTTCCAATTTTAATTATCTAAATCTGCCATGAGTTATTAAATATGACAAAAATACTACAAATGCTAATTGTTTTTATTTGCAATGATATGAATGTAATTAATAAAATATACGTTTATTTCTCAGCGCCATTAAAGTTATAGTTAATGTGTTACGAGGAGTCTTTGAAGGCATCGCGCCCATCACATGGCAGGTGAGGGAGGCGAGCTCGCGCGCAACAGACGCACGCACGAGCGAGCGTCAAACTGTACCTACAGGTCGGACCAGCTCCGGAGTTGACTTCTGTCTTCTGGGAGACATGTGTCTTCGTGTTCGGGAGCGCAGTTTATTTTAGCAAAGAGACTAAAATAATAAAATAAGATAAAACTCTAAAGGATTCGCTTGAAGGGCCAGCTCAGAGGAGACGCTTATCGTGAGTATCATGACTGGGAATGTTCGGTCGCTTTGTGCAACAGTAGCTTTTTAACTTCTTTTTAGCAGTTTATGTCGTTAATTGTGATAAATATGACAAGTTTGCTCCTGCAGGATGTTAAAAAGCAGCAAACTTTAAATAAATGGTGCTACTTTGGAAAGTGACAGGATGTTTTAGCAGTCCCTGATCATTTGTCTGCTTTTAATTAATTATTGTTTAATTTATTTCCGGGTTAAAGATGTTTGGGATCAACTACAGGAAACAGTTTCAGAGCTCACAATGAAACCAGCGTCCATATTTTAGAATCATGTTTTTATTTCAGATATCTTAACGTTGTTCATTTGTGTAGCACATTTATCATGTCAATCATAATGTGCTTAAGAATAGCTAAAAGTGAGCTAAAAATAAATACAAGTTTAAAAACACAAGACCACATAATGATGTACAATTTCATAAAATAAGACGATAATGAAACAGTAATATGTCATCACTAAATAAACATTTTAAATGTAAAGGCACTCATTGCAAACTAAAATAATAATAATAAAATTAAAAAAGGTTATCCTGAAATATGTCCAGTTTCAGAGTAAGATAGCTGTCAAAATCCACAAATCACACACCTTTAATTTGAGCAGGACATGTCCAACTGGGAGGAGACCCCAGGGATGACCTACTGGAGAGTGGAGACACTTTGTGTTCTTTGAATCCTCCCAGTAGAGGTGGCTGTGCAAAGAGATGTCTGGACCTCCCAGCTCAAGCTGCTGCCCCCGCAATCTGACTCCAGCCAAACAGAAGATAATGGATTTAGTTTATTACTTTACACATTTTTTTTTTTTTTTTTTTTTCGGACTGGTCTTCCTGACTTTGCATTGAATACCTTCAGGGCTTAATTTGTAAACCAATTGATGCCGAAACACAAATAGCAGGCGGGATGGCTGGGCTGCGGGTTTGGGGGTCCTCCCCCAGAAAATTTTGAATAAAGTAGATGCAATTTCCTGCATTTTGTTGCATTTTAATGGGTTGTTAAATGTCTACATTTACTTATATTTGTAAACACTCTGCTTCTGTCAAGCATCCTACCCTTCCACCTCCTTACTTGACGGTTCCGAGCCGACTCTTCTTCGCTGCATTCACTGTCCAACTCCACATGTGAAACCTCCAGGCACCTCCTCCTTCTGTTCATTGCTGCTGCCTGTGGGCTCCTGCTCGCGTATGACTGCCTGGTTAGCTTGGCACTCACCCCCACCACTCTTTTAGGGGCAGAGGTTTTTTTTAAGGGTAGAAGCAGAAATGCTTACTTGAAGAGGCAGCTCGTATGTGATATTAAGAAGTCGTAAGTGGCTGTTGTGTTTAAAATTAGTGTTTATGTAATTATTTTCAGTTTACATATCCAATATAAGTTTTATTCGTTCAAGGCAGTCATATTTGTACGTTACTTTATTATTATTAAGCCTGAGAGTTACCGGATCCAAGCAGAAACAGTTACTGGAACGCATCCTGTCAAAATAAGAGAGTTCCCGGATCCTGTTCCAGCAGGATACGGCTCAAATTAAGCCCTGGGTACATTTTTAAGGGTCTGTCAGAGTGTATTTGGTCAGCATTTCAACAACACAAGAGACAACCGTGCCATTTAAAGCTTAACGAAGCCAGTGGAGGGATTTTAGAACAGGTTTGAAAAGTTAATGCTGAATAGTTTTGGTTAGTAATCTTAAAGACGCATAATGTTTTTTTTATTTTACTGGACAGTGAATTTGGTTTGGGTCTAAGTTAAGCCAGGGTACTTTCCCCGTCACTGTGTTTTCTTGCATGTCTGAGCCACGTTCTGTCAGCTCGGAGCTGTTGAACATCGTTTTGTCCCACAGACGTGCTGGGTTAATGCACATCATCAATTTCTGACATCATGAGTAAAGAGGTGGGGGGAGGGGGAGGGGGGGCTTGCTGATATTCTAATAGCAGAGAATCGTGGCTGATGTTTGGCTCCCCTCTGCTGAAGCATCTGCTGCATCCAGCTCTGGAGATGTTGAACGCACACGTGGACGCGCACATGCGCACACATCACAGAGACGGGCGACTTGAGAGAGCCGGAGGAGGCTCCTCACTGTGAATACAGCCGGTCGGTGCCTCTTTTCTGTTGCAAATCTCATTAAAAAGGAAGAGAGTTAAAAGGCACCGCTGCCGCTGACGA